AAAGCTCTAAGAGTGCCAGCGGCTCGTCCTAGTGGTCAGTAGGTCTCTGTAGTGAAGCGCAGGCATCGCTACGCCCTCAAAGCTTGGGTGAAAACCATTAGTGGCGAGGACCCTCGAAGGCGGCATCTCATGGAAGGTGCGGTCGAGATAGAAGACACCACGACCAAATTCTTTCCGATGGCACTGTTTCTGTGGACATCTGTTCGTGCACTTGAGCTTTGTTGAAAACTTCACAGATATTTCGGTCCATACAACGTACTGCGGAACAAACATATCATGACATGTACCTGTGAGTTTGTTCTTTGCGTCATTTGTGCGTGAGAAATGTGGGGCACGTTTCGATCTGCTTTCCATTCTGCGCGTTCATTGCTTCGCCATTGTGGCAAAGCTGCGCCCTTTTTTGATGACTAAAGAATTGACCATTTCGTTAAAGAGCACCTTTATGACCCAGCACCCAAACTAACCGAACTTTTCTCAAATGGGGGGCATTAATGTACGAAACACCTTTAATATGTGCGATTCAGCACCAACATAAAGTGCAGTGCAAGGAGACAGAGAATCTGTAATTATAACACCCGATAAAATTTTCGCGTCTAACTTTCGTAAGGCGAGTACCGCTGCCAGAAACTCAGCCACAAAAACTGGTATGAATTCAGGTAGTCAGAGCGAATAGGACCAATCCAAGTTTGGGCTGAATATACCAACAGCTGATTTTTTGTCACACTTTGATGGATCTGTAGCAATAATTGCACTTGTTTTTACGCTCTGCAAGCGTTCTTGCAATAAACTATCTAGAGAGTGGTGGGGGAGTAAATCTGCATTATTATGAAAAATGTCGTTAAATTGAATATCAACATGGGGAGAATTATTGCTATCCGGCCTTATCTCGCAGATACGTACATTCAGTGGGTACAGTAAACGTTGCACAAATATAATTTGTGGGGTATGAAACCATGACCATCTAACGCCAACAAATATTTCCGGAAAGAATACGAATACTGTCTCCTATTGCTGGAGTGGTAGATAGATTTGCGGAGTTTAACGTCCCAAAACCACCATTTGATTATGAGAGACGCCGTAGTGGAGGGCTCCGGAAATTTTGACCACCTGGGGTTCTTTAACGTGCACCCAAATCTGAGTACACGGGCCTACAACATTTCCGCCTCCATCGGAAATGCAGCCGCCGCAGCCGGGAATCGAACCCGCGACCTGCGGGTCAGCAGCCGAGTACCTTAGCCACTAGACCACCGCGGCGGGGCTATTGCTGGAGTGGTGACTCACATATACTTAAAAACGTCTGAACGGTCAAGATACAAAACTTGCACGAAAGAGAAGGAGCTCTCGATTGTACAGGTATAAAACGCTGTTAGAAAAGTTTTTAGGGAGACCAAGGCATAAGTGCAACGGTTCTCTTGCTAAAAGATTGAGAGGCCGGATTTTGTAGGCTACAGCACCAGAGAAAAGCACGCATCCGAATCCCAGAATAGGACGAACATAAATTCGATATATTATTACTAGTGTATCTCTTCTCATGCCTATTCGATAACTGCTGATCCTACACAACATGCCGATGGCTCGTGCACCCTTTCCAGCTATGCATTCAATGTGTTGGTGCCAATTTGGAGATGCATTATAAATTACTCCAAGATATTCAATAAATTCCACCTGTGGTATGTCCTCAAAATGGTAAGATAATAAGATGTGCACGAGATATTATAAGGGGAAGACCAGAAGGGCACATTTACTCGGATTTAGCAAGAAGTGATTTTCGTCAAGTCGTATTTCGTACAGGGTGTTGGGATAAGACTTCAGGTGGTCGTAAAACGTCTGAATGGTGTCTACCGTGGCAAAGAATGTGATATCATCTGCATAAACATAAGTTGTTATGTCCTGGTTACGTGAAAAAGTTGCCATTAGCACATAAATAACACAGGGGAGCCTTGCGGTACTCCTCTCGTTTGTGTGTGCATATATAGTCGATGAAAAGCCGCCTTTGAAACTATAAAACTTCCTGTCCAAAAGGAATTTTGAATCTATGTTACTATGCATGCCAGAAATTTGAGGGATTCAAGTCGATCTATTGGAATATCATGCTCTACAGTATCGTATGCTTTATCGATATCCAAAGTAACTAAAGCTGCATATTTCTTGTCCCGTCGGGATAACTGTATACGACTTTCTGAATCAACATGAGCATTCCGTATGGAACACCCTGCCTTGAACTCGATTTGACTGGCGCTTAGAATTGACCTCTCGTTAATAAATCTATTGATTCCAGTATGTATGATTCTCTCAATAAATTTCACGAGATTTGATATCAAGGCAATTGGCCTTATGTAACTGTCATTTTGTTTCTTCAGGAACGCTATAACTTTAGCTAGTTTCCATTCTTGTGGTACCCATGAGTTCTTCAACGAATAGTTCACAATATCTAAAAGGACATTAGGCCATTCTCGAAGTAAAACCTTTAACATGGAATTGGTAATACCAACTGGTCCAGGGGCAGTCGTTGGTAAACAAGGTACAGTTTCAGTCAATTCAGACACAAGAGTTTCTGTAAATTCATGCGTAGGTACATGCATGTTGCGAATAGCCGAGAGATCTGTTCTAAAGCGGCGTTCCAAACCTTTATTATCTCCTTCAGCGAGGCGGTCATCTCTAGCGGCGTCAAGATACATGATTGCAAAGGGAAAGGTGCTGGCAGTACCTTCCTTGACCGCAGATACGCGAACAGAGCACGCTTATTGTTTGATTTGGAAAGATAATCGAAATGTCAACTGCCATATTCTTTCGCACGTTTAACAGTGTGCTTAAATACGCTGGCAGCCCCGCCGCGGTGGTCTAGTGGCTAAGGTACTCGGCTGCTGACCCGCAGGTCGCGGGTTCAAATCCCGGCTGCGGCGGCTGCATTTCCGATGGAGGCGGAAATGTCGAGGCCCGTGTGCTCAGATTTGGGTGCACGTTAAAGAACCCCAGGTGGTCAAAATTTCCGGAGCCCTCCACTACGGCGTCTCTCATAATCATATGGTGGTTTTGGGACGTTAAACCCCACAAATCAATCAATCAAATACGCTGGCAAAAACTGATAGTCTTGCCAATTCGTTTGGCATTGATTATGCAGACGTTTCTTCTAAGCGGCTTTCCATCTTCTGTATTCGCGCGTACATTCATCAGTCTACCAACGAGAGGATGGCCCTTTACTCAATAGAATAATGAACTCTTGAATTTTTCAGATATCCCTCTAGTATGGAGCCGATCTTAGATACGATTTCGTGACCATTGTCATTCTGTAGTTTTGCAATGGCCGAACGCAGACAGGTTTGAAATTTCTTATGGTTGACATACACTGGAAGTTGCTGCTCTAAAGTTGTTCCAATCATCCAGTACCTCCTCGGCCGTACCTTTCTTTTCTTTCTCGAATAAATCTCAATGCTTCAAAGAAGCTTTATGTTTTTTTCCCTTAAGAAATGAACACTTATTTACTTCCTCCCAAATAAATGTTAGATTTATTGCATAATGGTCGTGCGAAAAAGTACATGTTGGATTCGCTTGTGAAACCGCAACCTAAATCGCATGAAAGTGGACTACTTGGCGAAGTAACACATGTGCAGAAGCTCCGCCCACGTTGCTTTGACTGTGCTGCCGCAGAACGTTGTCGCCGAGTATAATCCCTTCAAGCCACTCATTCTCACCATGAACGCAAGCCAGCACGACCGCGTCGCTATTCACTTTCAGTATTCTCCGTCTTGTGTATATATACTTATTGGGAGACCCTTAACTTGAAAAGTTAAGAGTACCGTCTGTTTTTAGAGCTCACCCCGCCACGGCGGTCAAGTGGTTAAAATACTCGGCTGCTGACCCGGGGGTTTTGGGATCGAATCCCGACGGCTGCGGCCGCATTTTTCATGGTGGCGAAAATGCTGTAGGCCCGCGTGCTTAGATTCGGGTGCACGTTAAGAAACCCAGGTAGTCATATTTTCCGAAGCCCTCCACTACAGCGTCTCTCATAATCATATAGTGGTTTTAGGACGTTAAACCACGCATATCAATCAATCATCATTATTTTTCGCACAGCGACAACACGAGCCCTATCAAGTGGCCCTATACTTATCTCACTTTTGTGATAATTTACTGCTACATTACTTCCTCACGTTTCTTATCGCCCCGTTTCACTGTCATTAATGTTCAGCGCAAGCAGCGCCTGATGCATTCGAGAGGCTTCATGACTGTAGTAGATCATTTTGGTAAGATTACGCGCGCAACGCGAACATTTTCGACCTTCGTCATCGTCACGACCTCGCGCCAGTACTTTATTGTTTGAACATCGCTTTATTTTAGCAGCGGAGTTGTTCTAGTGCAGGGACTGGCGATATATGGGTGTCCGCGTTGCACATCACCCTTCTGTACTCAGGTACACTCGTAGATGGCGCAACTATATTGGTGGTGGACGAAGTGGTAGCCGCTCAGTGAAACAGATATGGGCGTTTTGAGAGTGGATAGGAATTAAAATCACTGCAGCAGGGGCTTCTACAAGCTTTTTCCCGTGTATCTATACTCTAGCAATAACGTTACCACAGAGATCTACATGAAATCACAATACATCACAGAAAATAACAAAGAAAGCGCAGGAGAACTACAAGTAGCTCCACTGTTTCTGCAAATTGAGCACTGTAAAAGTGGGATAATGTTTTTATTCTTATGGAACGCTTTTTTGTTAGGTACTTCTATAGTAAAGTTTGACATCCTCATTTAAAATTTTCCGTCAAGTTTCAATCAAACGTATTGATGCATATGAAGAGAGGAAGATATGATACTTAAAGTTACGCAGCTATGCTAAAATATTCATACTATGCATGGTTACGTGGACTTATCGGAGCAAAATAACGAAAGAATGGGCGGGTACCGGAATTCGCAGCCACGATTTAATCCGGGCTCGTGTGATTGTGCGAGTTAATGGGCAACCATGCGTGCGCATGTGTGTGGAGGCGTGGTGTTATTACCTTTGTGTCGGTGCATGGAAACCTGAATATTCTCAGGAAGCCGGCGCGGTCACCAGCTGCCACGACGGCCTTGTTGTGGGAACGATGACACGTCAGGTTCACGACATCCGTCAAGTGTTCATTGTCCCAAATCCCTATCACAACGACAAAAAAGGGCTGTTACAAACGCGAATCTGTTCCAGGGCACCCAGAGCCCAAAGCTGCAATAAAATTGCAAGGTGTGTTTGTTTAAGCACCCACGAACAAACCAATCTTTGTTATTCACTTCCACACAATGAGTTGCTCACATGTGTTGAGGAATGCATAGACTACTTTGGAGCAGTTGCATTTCAAAACGCATCTGGCTTGACCGTAGCAGGCTTTCTTGAGCGGCTCATATTTTATCTAGATTCAACGCACATACAATGGAATGACAAAGTGCTTATTCAGGAAGAAGGTGTATGCATCGGATACTGCTTGGCGCCAGTCCTAAGTGACCTGCTTTTAGCCTAGAAGGACAAATGTCTTAGTAACAGCGTGCAGGACACAAATGTTTGAAGAATTTTCAGCTTTATCGATGAATCATCCGTGATACAGCCTTAGGCAACAATGACCAGCAGGCAAGCGTTTTAGAAAATCTTCCGGAATCGCATCGCCCTACTCATTTTAACCCATGAATTATTAGTAGAAAATGCTTTGCAGTTTCTCGATCTACGACTAACCTTTGGCGAAGAAGATGCATGATGGGGTTATCATTCCCGCTCCAATAAGCCATTTTTGGTGTAAATAATCTCAATCGAAGTTAGTGAAGTGCGGTATTGTCAACCTTTTTTTAACAAATGCCGTCAGGGAATCTTGTATTTACACATTGGAAACCAGCCTGCATGAACACGCTGCACGGCTGAGCTTGGCAAGATACCCTACGCTGATGCTCGTCTCTGTTGCGGGCAGTGTGGTCACGAAAGTTCGTCACCCGAATGCTAAACCAGCCACCATGCCACAGCTATGAAAAAGGAATGTGGTAGTAATCACGTATATACACAACGTCTTACACTCGTTGAACAAGGTCGTTGTAAAGGTGTTTTGTTCCACCAGTTAAGCTAAGCCACCTGTGTAAGCTTACCGACCCAGCCTCTAGAAAGCCGGCAGGATGCCAGAAGGAACACCGCGGTTCTTTCTTGGCATGCGTAGCAGGCGTAGTGTACATCTTACCACTTGCTTGTGGCAGGAAATACACACGCCAAACAGGCAGATGTATCAATGATCGTTTACGCGAATACAAACAAAACATTGCTTGATAAAGAGATAGGCACTTGTACACACATTGGAATGGTTGTTGTTATTAACCTTTGTATTCAAGATGTCTCATAATCAGACGGTGCTAAGTGTACTCGCGAAATCATCGAAGCAAAGAACATAATCATCGAATGGCAAAATGTATCAGCTCACTGTCGTTAGAGCTATAAGAGCTATAAGGAAATGCTGTTCTTGCATTCGTCAATGCCCTGAAATTGTCACGCGGCCAAGGATTTTCAATAAAGAAAAAAACGAGTTGCTAGACTAGCGCCCTATCCTGTCCCCTCCTTTTCCTTTTCTTGTCTTAGTTGCGCCACAAATATTATCTTAAGAACAAGCGAACGAGCTCTCACTCACCCCCCCCCCCCCACACACACACACCACACACACACACACACACACACACACACACACGCACACGCACACGCACACGCACACACACACACACGCACACACACACACACACACACACACACACACACACACACACACACACACACACACACACATGAAACGGTAAATCGAGCTGTTCTCTCTTCTTTGTTCTGCCTCACTTCGTTAAGCTTTGCGTAAAGACGCAGCAGATATGCCGATGAGAATTAACGGATGCGTTTCGACAGCTCCATGAATATCGTCAGATAGATCGGCTCACGCGGCCATCGTCCCACTGGCGTTCCCGCACTGTCTGCACCCTGGCTCAACGCAACGACGCCCAGCTGTCTGGCCCCACCGGCTAAGGGCAGACCTGCCGGACGCCCTGGACGAAACCGTGGGGTTGCCCTCAGGTTCTCTTCTCCCGGAAACCATCGACGACCTGGTCTAACCACCCTCGGCGCCGTTCGCTTACACGTTGTGCGCGGGACGCTTGCCAGGACAGTTCCGCCGTCTCGCCGGTTGCATCTGGCGGCGGAAACACTCCCACGTTCTTCATTTGAATCTGTATCGACGGCTGCAGCGGAGCTTATGATGCAACCATCACAACCAGCCTCCGCTCCGAAACGCAGTGCGAAACGCGTGGCTGACTCAGCAATGGATGTAGATGATTTGTCCGCTTCAGCCACACCGGCAAGCAAGCGGGAATGCCCCTCTCCGGCAGCTGTTGCCTCGCTTGGCACCGCGTCTAAGTACAAGGTCGTCGTAAAACCACGTCAGTGTTTCAACGTATCAAAATTTTCCAATTGCCTCCTTCAGTAAACCTTCGACGCCTGCCTCAAAACCACCGCGTTTCAAGGTTTCTCTATTCACCATCCCACCGACAGCGTATCCGTATGGGTGAGTTCGCTAGCGGATGTTGACCACCTCCCCCAACTATGAGCTCTGCCAGTCACAGCTGATTGTACCGTGCAAGTGCAAGCGTACTTGAGTTCCGGCTCGGACTTGCGTCGATATGTGGTCTCTGGAGTTGACCCAGTAGAATCACGGGAGAGCATTGTCGCTGCTTTGACCTGCTCCACTCACAAAATCGTAACAGATCGTTATATGAACTGTGGACGCACTTGCCTGCTCACTCTCCAAGGTTCTCGAACGCCACAAAGCTGCATTACGTACTATGAATGCAATGTGCAATTTCATTTGTACAAACCCGGTGTGGTACACTGCTATCGGTGTTTTCCTACCGGTCACATGCGATATTCATGTCCCCAACCCGCAAACACTTCCATGGAGTACACCGAGACGCAGACGCACAAATGCGGGATCCGCCAAACGGACGATCATGTAATAACGTCCACGAAAAAATGGATGCTGCCATTCCGACTAACGATCGGTTTAAACTGTTTAAGTTCCAAAGAGAACACACCAGCATTGATAGAACCTCACAATACTTGCTATGAGGTCCCTACGTACAGCGACATCATCAAGCAGGGCAAAAAACGCGTTGAGCAGACTGCGAGCGCGCCTAAATTGGGTGTTACGACGACATACGATCTGGCGAAGCTTGACTAACAGATAGCGCAGCTCCAAACAGAATTCAAGTGCCTCGCTACATGCGAAACCCACCTCGCTTGACCTGATGAACCAACTGCGATGCGTGGTACAGACGTGCCGTACGCTGCTTCTGTGTCTGAATCATTCTTTGCAAGCGCGTCAGCACCAGTCAAAATGACTCCGAAAGAGCTCCTCCACTTTGTTGCCCGGCAACTGCAAGAGCTGTCACAAGTGTTGCTCACCAACGTTTCACCGCAATGACCGCTCCTTCGAAAGCAACGCGCCACCACTGTGTTCTGCTGTGGAACTGCCGGGGACTTACGAATAACGTTGCTGAGCTTCACTATCACCTTGAGCTGAGGAATATCCACGCTTGGTGCCTACTTCTACAGGAAACGAATTCACTTCCACGCATCCGTGGATTCACTGCATATGCTTCCCCAACCATTCCTGATTGACGCTGCACTAATGCGCTGAGACCTCCAGGCAAGGCTGCAGTGCATGTTATGACTACATATCCTCAAACGCAAGTTCCCCTATTGTCGTCGTGTAACCACTGACAAGAAGTGGTGCATGCTCGTTAGACTTCCGCATACTGACGTGATTGTGGTTTCAGTTTACCTGCGTTCGTATAGTGGCAGCGCTCCTCGTTTGCGTTTGGGGTGGCTGGCTCACCTGTGTCAAACCTACCCTGGGTGCCCAGTGCTAGTTGGAGGGGACCTTAATGCACCTCATCAGTCGTGGGGCTACCCTTCTTCCAATGCTACAGGCCACATCGTGCTAGACGCATTTACAGACGCACCACTTTGTCCTTCTGAATGCCCCGGCCACTTCCACACATCGGTGGGATCATCCCTGTGCTCCACCGTATGCGGCCGATCTCTCGTGGTGGTTGGGCATGTGTGACGTTTCGTGGGACCTAGTACCAGACTGCTGGGGAGCGATCACCATCCGTTGATAATCAGTTTGGCCACTTATAACCAGCGCCACCTCCGACGTCGATACTACACAACCAAGTGCGACCCCTTCCGAAAGGAACTGAATGCCTTGATTGCCGATACGTCGTCTGATCCATTGCAGGTGTTAACCACAGCTGTACAGGCCGCCACGCAGTCAAGCTGGGTAGATGAGAACAGACCACCCCCAAATTTACATCTTCTGCGTCTGTGGGCAGCACGCCGTCGGGCAGAATTCACCTCAAATCGAGATACGGCCGCCGCTGAGCTTCGTGATAACCTCAACAGACTCACCACTGCAGCGCGTCGCTGCGAGAGGCGTCTCACCCGGGAACGGGAGATGGACTGGTGTGCGCCACTCGGTCCATCGTCTTCATTCGCCTCAATATGGCGAACGTTCCGAAGCATGGGATTAGGCACTTGTTCGCTGGACCCAGCGGCCAGTGCGTGTCTGTCTTCTAGATGCACGCCAAGCCAGTTCGCTCCAGAAATAGTTAAGGCATTATTCCCAGCCTACAAGCTGGCCCCACCACAATTCGACTGTCCGTGTAACCTGCCTTCGGAGGTTGGCGTGACTCCCAGTCTGTCAGACATCGAAGGCATGCATGCGCTGAACACGATGGCGAAGCTCCAGGCAGCAATTTACCAGGCAAAAGTACGCAAGGCACAAAGACCAGACAGGATATCCTATGAAATGTTCAAAAACATCGATGGCCCTGCACTGTAACGGCTGCTGGACACGCTTAACGCAGTCTGGACGACCGGACGACCAGAATCGTGGAAGCATGCCGAAGTTGTGCCAATACCAAAGCCGGGAAAGCACCAGAGCGACCTCTCTAATTTTCGGCTGATTGCTTTAACGTGTACGTTGTGCAAGCTTCTTGAACGCATGTTGGCGTCGCACATCTCCTGGTGGCTAGAAAAGCATGCCTGGTACAATCCGGCCCAGATTGGTTTTCGACCGCATCTGGGAACGGAAGATGGCCTAGATCATTTGACGTCCATGATGCTTGTGGGAAGAAGATCAAGCAGCCTTCAAACCCTTCTTGCCATGGACGTTCATAAGGCCTACGACAACGTCAGCCACTCTGCGATTATTCGCATAATGCAATGGCTTCGACTTCCGCCTCACGTCTGCGACTTTGTGGTGTCCTTTCTGGCACACCATACCTTCTGCATCATTGTAGACAAGGAACGAACCGGACACTTTGTGATGAAGAGGGGTGTACCGCAGGGCTCGGTGCTGGCCCTGATACTCTTCAATCATGCCCTTTTGGCCCTCGCGTGGCAACTAGCATGCACCCAGATGCCTTTTTCCTCCTGTATGCGGACAATTTTATTGTGTGTACACTACATCCAGACCTGCGACGCCAGCAAGAGGCGCTTCAGAGTGCTCTGGACAAGCCGCCAGACTGGTGTGCGCGCACAGGACTGACACTTTCTGCCACGAAGACTGCATTCATGTCTATCACCAGCATACGAGGTCGCCGTCTCCTTCTGCAGACGCCGATTTGTTTGAGCCTAAATGGCCAAACCCTCAACCCTGTATCCACAATCCATGTGCTCGAGGTCGAACTGGACGCATCTGGCTCTGCGAATGCGTGGGTTCGCTCTGCTCGTCTGAAGAATGCTAATAACCTCCATCTCATTCGTCTCATCTCCCAAATGACCGGAGGTGCCTCTTCTCGAATGGCTTGTGTTTTGGTACGATCAATTCTACAACCTCGGTTTGTTTATAAAGCTCAGTTTCAACGACTCACATTGAGAGATTGGGAGTTGCTCAAAACCGCCAACCAAGATTCCATGTGGGCGATTACATGCTTTCCCCGTATAACACCTATCGCGACTCTACAAGGGGAAAGCGCAGCTCAACACCATCGACGAAATTTTACACCATCGTCGAGTCGCTCCCTACCTAAAAGAGTCAAGCTGTTCCTGCGGTGGCGGCTCTAGCTCACTGCTATAATTCAACACTGCCAAAGCCTGACGCAACCTTGGCACAAGTTCCACCATGGCTCAAAGCACAGGCCAGCGATAACCAACCAATGACTTGCCGGTGACAATCCACCCGAAAAGTAACGCAAAAGGGCGTCGTCATTACCACCGACAACTCACTAGCGATATACGTAGATGCAGCTATCGATAACTGCCTTTTGCACACCAGTCTCGTATGCCCCACGCTACCTGAAACTCAACATACATGTTCTTACGTAACAGAGGCACCATTCCCATCAGTATTAGCGGAGCTCACTGCAATACGGGACGGGTTGACAGTTACGATATCCAAAATGAATGCTTTGTCACACGATAAATTGCTTGTATATATGGACTGCACGTACGCGGTTCCAGAGCTGCGAAAAGTGACTAGCTCCCTCGATATAGCGTCTGATATACACCGACTTATTCACTCGTGCGCCTGTCCCGTCCCCGTATTGTGGACCCACTGGTCTGCACCGGCCAGCGGTTGAACACCCACTGCTTCTACTTCGTTTGTCCCCGAAAGACAGCTTGCTTGTGCACAAAGAAACCTTCTGGCACTCCACGCATGCACTCATTCCTCCACCTGTATCAGATTTACCGGTGGCTTAACTCGCCGAGAGGAGGTTGGGCTCAAGAGGATTCGTGTGGGCGTCACCTTGACTCCTGCAATCCAGGCTTGGACATCCGGTACACAGCCTGCCTCAACGACATGCCCATTCTGCGTTGCCCCAGCCACAGAGGCAACGCTCGATCACCTATTGGGAACCTGTCCGGGTCTTCACTGGGCTCGCACTCGCCACCTACGCAGCTTTCACCACCACTCTGGCCAATCTCCTGACTTGACGCGCTGGACCACGGTCCACTGCACCGACCACTCCTGGCCTTTATACAGAAAACAGAACTTTTCCTTTTCATATAACTGATGCCGTAGGGCATACTAGCACCAATGAATAAAATCATCGCATATCAACCACATACTCGACACTCATAATATATGACATCTCGTAGCAGCCCTAATAAATAGCCTAACTTATGAGTGTGTAAATAGTAGCTGAGCCCTTTAAGGGCCAAGCTGTCGTATGATGTCGTCACTGGGCGTAAAGCAGGCAAAGCCACAAGCAGCTCTAGCATACTGAGCGTGTGCTCGGGCCAAAGAGAAGTTTTCTTTCTGTTCGAATGGCTTGATTGTTATATTAAGTGCAGACATTACTACTGTGGCTGGGAAACGCGAAACACAAAGCACGTCTAAAGATAAAAAGAAGGCACGAGCGAGAAACAAAAAGAGAACAGCGAAAGAAAATGAAAGGAAGACGGGAGAAAAGAACCAAAGACAAACTGGTCGAAGCTGCCTTTTTCCTAATGCTTAAACCTAAACACTCATAAATGTTCGGAGAAGAATGCTTTATGAGCTTCATAACTTTTCATCACCCTAGGTGCAGCTGAATATGTATACCTTAATTATATGTCAAGCGTCACTTACCAACGATATCTGGATTGAGAGTGCAGGTGAGATGGTACCAATCGACCTTTGTAACGGTGGGTGACTTGGCCTTCAGGCTATTTACATCCCCTAAAACAATAAATCAAAGTGAATTGTAGTACAATTTCACACCGAACGCCCATGCCAGTCACAATCGCACTTGTATCGACTTGGAACAAAGCAGGTAATAAGGAAGAAAAAAAGCATCAGACCTTTCACCCCACTCGTTGCAGCAAGATGCGTTCGTTTGCAAAGTTAAACCGGGAGCGATAAGCTGAAGCAATCGGCTGTAGCAAATCAATAGATGCTGCAGAAAACACGGCACACTTTAAGACATGCTTGTAAATTTGTTTGCGTCATTTATGGGTAAAGCCCACTTCATACGAGACGTTCATCACCCCCGGTGATTTAAGTGTTGTATTCCGAATGCCCCGAAATTAAATGTGAGGGTGCCAGATTAAGCTTCTTTTTATGTGTCCGTAGCACGACAAAATACACTTTCATATGAGTGATCTAGACCCGATGCATATTTTCAAGGATTGTCATCAAATCGGGGCTCTCTAACAGAAGTGTGACAGACCTGCTCACTATAAGAACAAATTTCAATAGCGTTGGGTCACTAGGATTCTGGCATGTCCGTGAACGACAATGCGTTTTGAAATTTCAAAACATTTTCATGACTAATAGCTTTTTTTCAATCATACAATAATGCGCTATGACCATTGAACAAGCGTTTGTGTTGCTGAAATTAAAGTAGCTAGGTTCTCTCATGCACTTTGTGTTCTATGATATTAACAGCGAAGCTCTTTATAAGTCTAGTCCGTGACCAGACGTGGTGATCACGAAACGACTTTCTTCTGCTCCGCTCTGAGAACACGTGCGCCGCTGTGTACGCGGCGTGGCCTGTAATGATCCGTGTCACGACGAGGAAGGAGAGATAAATCGTCGATGAAAAAATCTCTTGACGACGCGACATTGGAACTTGCGATCCTAAGGTGAGCATCATAACCACTCGGCGGTCGAGGCACGCTAGCGATGCGCAGTATAGCGTTGTATATAGCATTATATAGCATACTACAGCAAGGCAGGCGCGTAGCCAGAAACTTTTTCGGGGGGGGGGGGGGGGGCAGTGTGTTACTCTCTGGATAAAATCCTGCAGCTAAGGGGTGGCAGGTGAGTGTGAGAGGGTGATGGAAAGAATGAGCGAATTGTAGGAAGATTGAAAAATATAGAAAGAAAGGAAAGAAAACAAATGTGAGAGAGACTAAATACAAAAGACCAAAGTACACTCAGAGAAAGAAATATAATGAAACAAGTATAGAGAGAGCAAAAAAAAAGAACAAAAGAAAATTAGAAGGTGCAAGAAATAGACAGAAATATGCATAGAGAGAACAAATAAAGAGGAAGAAAAGAAATAAGAAATAACAAAATAAAAAAAGCCACTCATCTCAGCACTTGGCGCCACAAAGCTGGTTTAAGTTTTTGTAATACATGCTTTGCTAAAGATCTTTCCGAAGCTTATAATTTGAGTCAGAGCAATATACGTAGCATATACAGGGTGTCTGAAGGACATCAGCGTGGCTGCTACGAAAAAAAAAACTTGACGCTTGAACCTCTCCTTCCAAAGTGGGACGCGATTGGTGCGCTGAGGATACAAATATTCCAAGAAGACAATTTTTAACGGTGGAGCTAGTGCCGTTACCATCGGCGCAAACGTCTGCGCATATACGCCACAGAAAGCGAGCGTCTGGCGAGCAGCTCATAGCATAGCATGGCCTGGCATGGTGCAGCTTATATCAAGGGTATAAGGATAGAAAAGTGAGGATGCAGAGGAAATTGTCAAGCATAGCAAAGCTACGTACAGTAGCAATAGAGTGGTAAATGCAAGTGAAGGTGATCAGGAATGATGAGGGTATGGAAAGGGAGGCTGGTCGAGGATAGCCAAAAAGAAAAAGCCAAGCATATAAATCAATGGAGTGTCAAGGTGAGCGACAGCAGCAAGCTAGGTGACTTTGATTGTTATTTGCAACGCCGTGCTCTTTTTACCATGCTCAATTATGCTGCGCTGTTTTGAGATTGCCACGCCGTGGTGGTTTAGGGGCTAAGGCGCTCGGCTGCTATCCCGCAGGTTGCGGGATCGAATCCCGGATGTGGTGGCTGCATTTTCGATGGAGGCAAAAATGCTGTAGGCCCGTGCGCTCATATTTGAGTACACATCAAAAGAATCCCAGGGGGTTGAAATTTCCGTAGCCGACCACTACGGCGTCTCTGATAATCATACGGTGGTTTTGAGACGTTAAAACCTACATATCAATCAATCAAATATAAAATTCACCTCGTAAATACAACAAAATCTTCCTAATTGTTACATCGAATTATCTTATATATCGAACTGATCGCCAAGCAGTGTTTCTAAATACGTTCTCTGCCTCAAAGGGGTGATACAGAAGATGGAAACGAAAGAAAACTAATTCATTTCCCACGGCTCATCTGCCGGAACTGTGTTGTGTGGCGTAGATGTTTTGTGAAGCGTTGCCTGTGATACAAATACGCGATAGCGACACCCATGAGCGATTTCGCTAGACGTGCTTACAGCAAAGAAGCTCTTGGTACTGGCCATCAGTCGTGATGACTTGCAGTAAGCGACTATCGGCTGACCAGTCGATGTTCACGAGGGAGTCTCGGCCCTGCATTGAACAGGAACGATCATAAGTTTGTAGAGGTCGCGAAGGCATTTGCGCAGCAAAAGTGCTGTTTCCTTTTAACTCAAGTTCAAATTTTATGAAACAGCCAAATAAAATTGCCCACAACGCACATGAACAAATCATACAATGCACATGAGCAGACGCATAGACGTATAAAAAACCGCCAGGCCTGCGCGGAACGTGCAGCACTGTCAAAGCAAAAGCTTGAAGAGCAGCCTAAACGCTTTTCGGGTAACTCTGCAAGTACACTTGCAGGGTTACGCCAGAATCATCATAATTTTTCTGAAGTAGGGAGGCATTCAGTGTGTTTTTGTGCCGTACAGAATATTCACTGTGCCATCCTTTGTCATTCTTCGGAGAAGCGTGGTACCCGCTACACATTCGCAAAGCATATTGTGCAAATTTTTGATGCTGTGGCTGGCGACGATGAAGCATTATGCCTGAAGATTGCATTCTGAGTTGGTGATGTCAAGCTCTTGCTGTCCCCGGGTTTCACCGTGAGGTTGTTGACTAAGTATTGAGCGGTCTTACTTCTGAGTTTTTTTTACAGTCTCTAGATGATTTTCTTTGCTTTTGAATCTACCCAAGTTGTTATGCTGATGCCGACCAATTTTCCTGGACAGGTCTCAGGCCTGGTCAGCCTAGTTATTCTTTCGCAGTCGGTTCAGAAACATTCATGTCGCACTGCAGCCTACAAATGGAGGTTTCGTCAGGCTCAGGAACCCCCAGGCTGTCCAAAAAGAACACAAAGTCACATCGAACCACTTTCAGACCATCACCGACGTGCGCCAATTTGGACGAGGTGGCACAGTGTGTAGGTCACTGGACCAGACCTGTCTGCAGGATCTGCTTAAGTGTACTTCGTTCGTGTCAACCCCGGTGTGTGCTTTCATTCCGCCTTACCTTGCGTGTACCAAATATTTCGTAAGGGGTGTCGATTGCAAACTGAGTCCAGAAGAGACCCTAGACAGGCTTTCGGGAGCAGGAGCAATTTCCGTCACCTGATTAATAACGAGAGGACACTAACCGAATCTGTCATTGCTACATTTGTGGGCACAACTTGCCCGTCAGAAATAAAGCTATGGCCTCTGATCTTACGCGTGGAGCCTCTCACTTCCCATTCACTACAATGTAAAAACTGTTGGAGATTCGGCCATAGTGCGGGAGGATGCAAGTCAAATCTTTGTTGCCGGGTCTGCGGCGAAAGCCACTTCTCAAGCAAATGCTCAGCAACATCATAAAAGTGCTGCCTTTGTGGAGGGAGTCACTACGCCGACCATTGCGAATGCTCTGCTCGCTCTCAGGAATTACAAATCCTAGAGATTAGAGACCGCCACCACTGCTCACGCAGAGAATCTATTGATATAGTTAAAGACAGGGCCTCCGGCTATTATGGTGCAGCAGTATGACATATATTTTGTCTAGCCTCCAACCTTTCACAAGCCAATGAATCTGTCGTTGAAAAGCCAATGGCTAAGGCAACGGATAAGTTAATATCTAACCTCAGTGACTATTTAACGCAAATCTTTTCAATTCAGATGACACACAAAGTGCAAGCTCAGGCTCCCGCAGTTCCTCAGCAATCAGACACCATTGACGCCACTCAACTACATAGCATGGTACTGGCTAACTGTCTGAGTGTGTTCATAACGTTGAGCAACCTGTTCCACAGGTTCATAACGCTGAGATGTGTTCAAACTGTCTGAATGTGTTCATAATGCTGAGCAACCTGTTCCACAGGTTCAGTCAGACCGTTGCACGCATCAGCCAAGTACAAGTAATGCTAATAATATGGAAATTGAGATCCGAGCTAACAAACATGTACGATCGCCTATTTCTGCGGACCTAAAGTCAAACATTAAAATTAATTAGTTGTTGATTGCGAGAAAACATACCAAGAAGGACAAGACATGCGCCGCCGCGGTGCGCTCAGCACCATGGGTCAAGTAAAGGCACTTTAGTAGAATGCCGATCTATATTCTCAGCCTCAACCGACTTACATTACCTATCTAACCAATGTAACCCCAATATTACAATTCTACAAGAAACTTGACTTACAGCTGATAAAAAGTATTATTTTACGGGATTTCGTTCTTTTCTATTAGTGGAGGCGGAAATGTTGTAGGCCCGTGTGCTCAGATTTGGGTGCACGTTAAAGAACCTCAGGTGGTCGAAGTTTCCAGAGAACTTCATTATGGCGTCTCTCATTATCATATCGGGGTTTTAGTACGTTAAACTTCACATATCAATCAATCAATCAATCAATCAATCAATCAATTATTTTTGGTCTCTGTGAGTCAGGAATAAGCGGACAATATTTACTGTGTTTTCCACCATCCGCTTGTGTAATGGCTGCTCGATTTCACAGGCGTACCATTTAGGAAAGCTCCACAGGTGCATTACTCACAAATTCGACTGAATATCGGCACTTATTATATCCCTGGTGCCGATCCTCTTGTGGCACACGTAAACTAGAAGTGGCAATTATGAGGCTACGCTGTAACGTGACAAAAAACACAGGTTTGGTCTCGTTCTTTCTCTAATGTGCGCTTTTTGTTGCGAGCCAGAAACTGTGGATCATTACTTTTTGGAATGTAGGCAATTTACTAAAGCTCGTAAATTCAAGTTTCAGGGTTTGCCTGTACGAAGTTTGCGGGGCAGTGCTGAATTATCTGAATGAAACGAAAAGGCTAACCAACTGATATTATTCTTCTGTGTCAACATACGCAAAACTTCTCTTTTTTCTAAGTTGTGATCTAAGTTATCATATATTACTAATACAAAAACATTATATACGTACAGATCAGTAATCATCAAAACTCCATTCTAAAATTTTTAACGTCTACGATTTGTAGGTTACTTTACTCTAAAATCAAATAATACTTTATAAGACCACTCAATTATTGGCCGATCCCTCGCAGTGGGCATGAGCCACAAGTGAAGGGCAACAAAAAAAAGAACAAGATTTTTTAATGGGGTGGAGTGATGGATGCGGAAATGTTGTAGGCCCATGTGCTCCGATTTGGGTGCACAATAAAAAACCCCAGGTGGTCGGAATTTCCGGAGGCCTCCACTACGGCGTCTCTCATAATCATATGGTGGTTTTGGGAGGTTAAACCCCACATATCAATCACTCAATGAGTTGGAGCATTTGACAACCCACTGGTTACGCAATTCACATTGTGTATTTCGCAGGATAGTCAATGTGGCGGAGGAGTTCTACAGAGAGCTGTACAGAAGCCAAAACAACCAGGATGATAGCGGGAAAAACAGTGATAGTTCAGAGGGATTCGACATCCTACCAGTAACGAAGGGGAAGTAAGCCCAGAAAGGAATGCAGAAAGGCAATGCCGCTGGTGAGGATAAGGTAACAATGGACCTCCTGAAAGATTGCAGAAAAATTATGTTACAAAAACTGGCCACCTTATATACGAGGTGTCCCTTGACGGGAAGGGTACTAGAATCTTGGAAGAACGCCAACATCATCTAAATCCATGAGAAAGGGGAAGTCATGGACTTGAAAAATTACAGACCGGTCAGCTTGCTCTCCATTTTCAACACACTATTTAAAAAATAATAGATAATATAATTAAGACCATATTAGAGTTCAATCAGCCAAATTACCAAGCAGGATTTCGTACAGGCTGCTCCACAATATACCATAGTCATACTATCAATCAGGTAGAAGATGATCTAGACTCCAACCAAAAGTTTTGAAGAAACCCGATGTTTCGAAACCAACTTGGTTCTTCCTTCATCAGAGTTAACTGCGGGAACTACGTAGCAGCGGCGTCTTCAAAGCACTCGCGGGGTGGATAATGACCCCCCTCTCTTTCGCTCTCTCGTTTTGCCGTGGAGCGCAGTGTACACTGGGGGAGGGGTTCTGAGAGAGCGGTTGATGTTATAAGCTGCCCTCTGTATGTGCCACGACTCGAGTACCAACCTTCTCCTCCGATTCGTCTCGCTTTCAAGGGTGGCCGTCGCTTCGAAATTTATCCGGCGATCCAACGGATCGTTCATTCGTTCGATCATTCAATCGTTCAATCAATTAGCTAAAGGATTAAAAATGGGTTCACAACGTGCCTTCTGAGTTCTGTTCATGCACCAGTGGTTTTTGAGTACACAACAAAATTGACTTCTGAATTAAATCAGACTAAATACGATTACCAGATTCAGCACCAGGCTCTGATGTAAATACAAATTCAATTCCACATATAATATACCAAGAATTTGCCAACGACATTTCAAGCCCTATAAACTACTCCTATAGGAAGGCATGAATAGCTGATGGGTGGAAGATTTCTCAACTTATACCACTCCTTAAAAAAACATTTCTTAAACAGAGTAGGCAATGCGCCAATGTGCTAATGCTTTTGCAATATGCCAATGTTTCTTGTCAGTGAATACTTACTCAACTAGTATTATTACGTACAAAGATGGTTTCTCCTAACGAAGACTCAATAATCAATGATATGGTAAGCGCAGCCAACGTACTCACAACAACAAAAGCAAAACAAAGGAAATATAAGAGCCGTAGAGGAAAAAGTAGTGCAACAAAATACTGGTGCTCTTTGAAGATATTCAAAATGGTGTTGCTTCGTAAATGCCTGCCAGTAGAGCTTAGGTAAAAGCCATACCTCACAAAGAAGAAAAAAACACACCTACCCGGATCACTTCGCTCTTCTGATTCTTCTGTCCTTGGTCTTGAACGAGAAGTATGTGGATGAAACCGTCGTTCGCCCCGACTGCCATCATCATGCCATCTGAAAAAATCCAGCACGGCTTCTCAAATAATACCCTTCACTGGGCATTTGAGCTATTAAAAATAAAATAAAAATAAGTTCACTGTGTTAGCGAGTGCCTTTACGTTCGCCGGCTAGCATTTCCAGACATTCGACTTCTTAAATTTCTCGTAGGCCGTGAGTGTTCGCTCTCATGCGTTGCTGTAGCGTTCATTAATTTTTACATAAGCAATATGCTGCACAGTACGTGTAGCACTGATTTATCTTTTGCTTGATATTCTTGAAATAAAATTTTCAGTTTGAGTCATTTTATGGTGCCTATATATGCAAGTTGGCAGCATCTTCCACTCTATACAACACCGGAAGGTTTGTTGCTCACTAGGTGACGCAATAGGTTATACAACCGGGTACCTTGCTTCTTTAACGACTCGCACAGCAACAATTAGATAAATGTGCATTAAATTACATCGGCATTGTCAGTTGATTACACCGTTCCTGCAAACGTTCACCTGCGTGAAACTGCGTGCGAGGCGTGAATCACCCAGCTACCATGCACATTCCAAACCGGACAAAATTTTCAGATCATTTTGGATAAACGAGCCGAAGGCCACCGACACGTATGGCAGCTCACACCAACTGCGCGAACCAGTTCACAGACAAACCTTTCAAGTTTGTATTTGTGAGCGCTAGTTTTTGGGACATGCGGCAATAAATGACTACCCGAATGCATGTTTGTGTTGACGCAAGCATGCACCCACGTTACAAAGCTATGCTTGCTTACAAGGCTCTGCGCTACAAGGTCGTGCTTGGCCAATAGGATTCCCGATTGTATATTTTAGCGACCAGTAAAAACGAAACTCTTTCTGTAAATACACACATCACTACCATATTACGAGTCGTTGCTATAAAAGAGGGGCCAACCAATAATTATAAACAACCATGCACAGTTCAATGCAGTGACTGTATGGCGAGGACACGATAGCAGTTTGCAAGGACAAAAACAGAAATGAAAACACCATTCATTTCGCCTGCGCTGAAGTTGCTAAAAGATTTCAGCGTATGAGAAAGTTGGATTTGTTGTTGCTCGATGTTATTCCGAAACGAATTAGCTCTAAGATCACTGCGTGAAAACTACATTGTTTCACGAGCTGATCAAACTTGAGGCTGCTATTTATAAGCCACATGTCTAAGGGGCCATGGTGACCTTCGCTAACCAGCAATTTGGTGTGAAATGGGTGACGGTTTAGTAAAAAATGTATTGAGCTTCTTTAAAAGGAAACTCACCGGGTGAGTAGGCGAGCGCGTTGAGTGCGCTGTTGGTGACGCTGAACGTCGTCAGCACCGCCCCGGTGTCGGCGGCTAGCACGGACACCCGGCCGTTGGCGCAGCCCACAGCGAGTGCAGAACCCCGAGGGTGCATGGATGCAGACAGGCACTCTGACTGCATGACAGAGCACATCACGCGCATCAGCAAGGACACTGGACAGGCACTGCACGGGCAGCACCATTCAACAATCAATCCTCCCTAACGAATCAATCAGCAATACTACTTTATTGCAAGGCTGGGCAGAGATACGCTGAAAAGTATTCTGGAACAACGAGGTATATTCGAGCTAGACGCCTCAAATTCATGTACTGAGATACATTTATCTTAGACGTTACAGGATATTTCGAAGATACAATGGAAGGTAAAAAAAAAAAGAATCTTGGTACAACAGGAGTTCCTTCTTTTTCTTGTGGGGTCATTTATTGAGTGCAGCATGAGATTTAGAATAATGTTCGGCGCATTGTTACTTTAATGTCAATTGAATCAGTAACAACAGCCAGTTAATCAGGGGAACTACAAGCGCGATTTCTTTTCCTGGAAGCGTTGCAATAGCAGCTTCTGAGATTCGCTTTCTTCTGGACGGTGTTGCTTTGTACTCATACCAATACTCGTGAAAGACAAAATTTACCTCTGGAAAGGAGCACGAGTTCGTGGTATAACAGATCACCTTAATGACCGCGATTCCTTGTAACATGTGTTTTTGGCTCAACTATGAACCAAAAAAAAAGTGTGACGTTGCATCAACCTTGAGAGACTCGTCAGCAGGGGCGCACAACATTGTCTCCGCGGTTCGCCTATGTCTGGGTGTTTACTCTATTTTATGCATCTGGGAAACCCTTCACCGCCAATGTCGTGTCACCGACCAGGGGCCGGCCTTTTCTTTGCTTAGCATTAAAGAAAATCTTCATTTCGCCTCTCAAACACGTCAGGTAATTTACAACAAAAAGGTAACCAGCTACCTGTGTCCTGCAAGGTATCGCGATACAATCTGTACGTCGTACATGTATTTCACTACTGAGATGCAAATACACTTTTCAAGTGTATCTTTATGCAGAAACACAGATACACAAAAGTATCTCTAAGACAGGCCCCGCTTTACTATCACTTTTTGAAAAAGGACAGTACTGCAATCTGGGCACAGCTTAACGAGCCTCCTGCACCGGTAGTGATTTGCCCCCGTCAGAAAGTGTAGGTGATCGGTCCGAGGTGCAGCTTCCCTTTTCGCCGTCTACACCGTCCTCACCACCAGGCATCGGCCGGAAGCTGGCTTCCGGCGGTGGCGGTCTGGGCTTAACCGATGACTTGTTTTAAGTGTTCTCTTCCAGGCAATAAAGGGAGGATTCTCATCGCTTTTTGTATTTTCACTTAGACAGCTTAGCTACAGGCAGGTCGAGAGCAAGAACGGCGTTCTTAGAAACGACGTTCCAAGAACTAGTTCCTTTTGGGGGAAATGACATGGTTCTAGTCAGTATCCGTGAAACTGTAACAGTAACTTGTTACCATTATGAGGGAATGGCAGAGGAAGCGGCGTTCCTTCTGCAAATCCCACGGCCTCCATCAGGCACTCACGTAGCACATCGCTAAGAACAAGGCGGATGGGCGTCAGGCACACAAGGAGGTTACCTCCTTGCAGGCACAACAGTCTACCACTCGCCGTTCATGCGGCAATGCTGAATCCTGGTTTTCACTTGAAAGCACCAGCCAAGGGCGCAGAGAAGCTCACGCAGTTGAGAACAACCGCATGCGAGACAGTTGATTTTCTACACCAGAGCTGCTATGCTCAAAATTTACCGTCTGTCACAGAAAGAAAATTATCATCGTCATGAACGAGACCACGCTCACTCCATCCTCTTCTGCTTCGCTCCCAGAAGCTAAATTTGAGAGAACGATCAAAGAGAGATATATAAAAAGAAAACAAAATATTGAGGAAAAATTTTCCCGCGAGGCGAGGTTAGAAACTATCTGCTGCTGGCGAGTGTCATATCTATCCAGTTTTCTTTGCTTTCTTATTTTTCACAGGTACTCTTAATGAATAACTGGTATCTTCATTCTGTTCGTACCAACGACGAACACATTCCACTAAAAAATGGGCATTGACCTCTAAAGCGAATACATCCAGTAACGACATTTTCCACTCATACACTACAAGGATAAGCATCTCACTAACGCAAAGGTCATTTAGGCTGAATTTTCGTTTGTTCGTATTTCATAACTGAGTGACCATCCTAATGAAGTGCGGTGTTGAGAAAATTATTAGCTATGCGTTTCTCTGCTACCTGCGCGCACGCAAGCAGAGCATATATTTGTATGTTATAAAATAGCAAGGGGGTAGAAAAGAGTAGTGAGCCAGAGGAGGACGGGAGAACGAGTTAAGAGAGAAAAGCATGAAAAAAAAAAGACTCCCGAAGAGAGAAAGAGAGAGAGAGAGATGTATAAAGCAAGGGAAAAAAGACAGAAGATAAAATAACACAGAGGGAAGTTCACAGAAACACGTTGTCGGACAGCGCTAAGTTGCAAACGGGTATCCTCGACAGTATTTTCTAATGAAATAAAATATTGAATCAGGACTCATTAAATGCGCAGTGATTCTGTATTTCGATGTGCTTGCCTGAGATACAAGTTTTAATTATAATACTCTGAGTGCGCAGATATCTATTTGAATACATCAAGTGCACTATTCTGACCACCCATTTGAAGACTGGCGTGGAAACTTCCACATTGGTTTGACTTGCTGCGCATGAAAATTGAAGCTAGTCATGCCTATAGTATGGACGGTGGTCTATAAAATTCGTCCAGGGGCGTTTATTGACATTATTTCACTTACTTATAGTCTGTGATATCAAATTCGTCTTGTGTATGTAGATAGATGAAAGCTTTAAGGAGCTCACTTCATTTCTCTTCAGCATCATCTTACACTATATTTCTTTAAAAAACTGAAATGTAACAATAATGTAACAAGACGTTTCGATTTTCAAAATTTAACTAACGAGTTCCTTCTAAATTACCGGAAGTTGTAACGGGAACTCGTTTCAAAATTATCATGCGACCAGGAACTAGCCTTCGTTCCCGTTATTGAGGAACGTGTACGTCACTTGTCTAGAGCATGCAATCTGTGGTCGCTACACCTTCACGTTTATTGCAAATGAATAAGTGCACCTCAGCGTGTAATTTGTTTAGGCTATGCGGCTTCGGTATATCGTACACACGAGCACTTTTTCAAAGATTGCTTCTTGCTTATTTTTAAGGGATTTATGAGGAGTAGAACATAATGTTCCAGCCCCCTCTGCGTGGTGGTTTTTTCTCTGAATGTTGCTGAGGCTCGCTTTTTGAACAGGCCTGCATAGAAGCCCGGTCCCCGGGTGACGTCTTTGCCAGTACGGACAGATGTCCATGTTATTTTATTCGGGTCGAAGGGAACGTTCTCCTTGCTTGCTTTCTGCATTTGGCTGGACTCTTTAAGCACCAGTGGTACTTGCTTTGCAGTTTTAGAATCGGTGATGATGATTGAAGGAACGCGTGGAGAATTCACGGCCTCCCGTGGCGATCTCTGTAATGACCAAGCGCGCCACGTTCAAATCAGCGAATGGCTGATGGGTGGGCTTTTTACTAGTGATTTTTGAGTGTCTTCCGTGATTTCTCAAGAGAGAACAAAGCACGTTTTAGCTGACTTTGATTATTTATTGTGAGTTCTAGGCCGCGTGCTGCGCTATAATATTTGGCTCGCGTGTTGTCGGAAGCCTCTATTACCGATCGGCAGTGTTTTCTGACCATGCTCAAAAAGTGTTGTAGGCCCCTTTAAATGATTTTTTATTCCGTCTCCGATCACAGGTGCTGAGATGAATCAATAAAAAAATGAACTCAGTCAATACAATCAAGTACCTCGAAATCACTATTTGGCGGGGACGCGAAGGTGGGCCGACCCAGTGGGTAGCGTAGCACCTTTAGTGGTGACGTCCTCGAGCTCAGAGGATACAACTTATTTCGTTAAGCCGACCGTTCTATTTATTGCTTACGTTCGTTGCGAATAACACGTGTGATATACTCGTTTGTTTTTACTGCGTATACGTAGAGGAAAGAAATCGGAACATATACGAAAGTAGTTTGCCTTTGTGGGACAAAATGCGCACAAATTCGATTGATAATTGATTGATATGTGGGATTTAACGTCCCAAAACCATCATATGATTATGAGATACGCCGTAGTGGAGGGCTCCGGAAATTTCGACCACCTGGGGTTTTTTAATGTGCACCCAAATAATCTGAGCACACGGGCCTACAACATTTCCGCCTTCATCGGAAATGCAGCCGCCGCAGCCGGGATTCTAACCCGCGACCTGCGGGTCAGCAGCCGAGTACCTTAGCCACTAGACCACCGCGGCGGGGCCGCACAAATTCGAATGTTGCGTTTTGTGACGTTCGTCATTGCAATGAACGTCGAATATGGTGAGACATTCCGACATTTCTCGAGACCCTGTGTAGAAGTTCCTGCATAACTCTTCGCACTAGAAATGGAAAACAATGCAAAAGCTGCTGAGGACGCATTCCGCTGACCACTGAATGCACAGCGCTTTCACCCAACGAATGTGGTACAAAAAGTTACCCAAGTCGAAGTTCTCGGCGCATTTTTGTTTTACACGTGGTTTGCATTACCATATTTGTTCTAGACATCACCCTTCTTTTTTCCAAGCCAGTGTGGTTCTTTCATTATGGAGGGTGATAATTAGGAGATAAAAGGACAAGCACAAACATTTCCCATTGACACTGTTCCTTTGTGGTTTAGGCACTTGGCATGAGGGCTATTACGATGTGTTGTGGGTATTTATCAGGCACCTCGTCATTATCATCCTCACATGGTGTTTCTCATCATCATCACTTGTGGGGACACATCTTGAGATTGTTATGTGTCTCCGATATGATTGGCTCTCTCCTTTCACTTATCCGCGGTGTATTAGCTCAGACCGGCCACTTTGCCATCCAACAAATTCTCACTCTCCCGCCCCGTCTTCAATGCTTACTGAAGGTGGGTCAACTGCTACGTCAGAATCCTAATTCTTGTGTCGCCAAGATAGTCGTAAAATGGCAGGGAACGCCTTCAATGGTTCAAGAAAGTCTGTCGGAATGCTTTCGTTTGCAGAAATCAAGCTTCCAAGGCAAGTGATGATATGCCGTAAGTTTGATGCATCACTACTACGTTCTGTTCTGCGTAAGCCTCAAGTTCGAGCCGGAAAGGAGGGGGGGGGGGGGGAGTCGCTTGTCGCAACTCCGTGAATTGCGGCACTCCGTGAATTGCGGCACTCCGCGCCCTGCGGGCTTCCGTAAACCATATTTGCAATGTGCAGCGACCCTCTGGTTATAGCTATTGAATATTTGAGCCTCGCGTCACCAATAGACAACCTCCTGGTTAGCTCGTATGACAGAATGATCCGCCCTCTTCTCTCTCCCTCCCATTCCCCTTTGCCCCGTGTAGGGTAGCAAACTGGGCTTCTGATAGTATTTCTCTCTCCGTAATTTGTCTAGGCTATTTGTTCTAATCCAGAAATAAGACGCTTTCCTCAAGCGCACATTTTTTGCTTAGAGAAAGGCGGATAGCAACTTCTTTCACGTTGCCTTTTAGCTCAGCATGCGCAAACCCTTACCAATTTCATCTTATGTATCTTCAAGATATCACCCCTTTTGCTCCTCGCTGATGCTGCCTGAGCTGAACTCATGGCGCAAATGTTTAGATATGTAGGGACAAAAAAACAAAAACAGACACATACAAGCTCTTGCGCACTTGTCCGTCTATTGCGTGTCTTCTTACGGGTCTTCTTCCTCCCTACCGAAACATTTGCGCCATCAGTTCATGTGCAGATATGCACCAACTAGCCCGACAGCAAACGTCGCCAAGCTGCAGGAGCTAGTCAAAACTTCTTTGTGCCGCATGACAATGATATTAAGATATATTATATTCATATTGTCTGCCGTATATGATGTCTGTTCATTAAGCCCAGTTAGAACACAACATGCACATGGGTCTAGTATTTTCCCAGAATCCGATGAAGCCGTCGAGTTGGCGCAGTCGGTACGCCTTTGATTCCGGCAATGGAATTCGCACGGAGGCGAACAGTTGGAGGCCCCTGTATTGTGGGATGTCAGCACATGTTAAAGGACTCCAGGTGGTCGAAAGTGTGCAGACCACAACCCCACCTCGTCTATCATAGCCTACGCAGCTGTGGCACGATAAGCCCTATATGTCAATTCAACCCAACCACATTTTTTTTTGTGAGAAGAGGCACCTTATTATATCGACATACCTCGACCGGAGTCATCCAGACAAGGCTAGAGATGTTCCAACGGCAGACCGCCCTGTCTCGGCCGACGGTGAAGAAGATGTTTTCAGTCGGAGAAGCCACAACGCTCACCGTTTCCCGACAGTGGCTCTGAAATGTACACGATGAAGAGGGCAATATTTAGCTTTACAGTGTATACAAGCTTTAACACAAGACCTATAATGCCCGCACTGCAATTATATAGAAACAGTAGCAGTTTTTTATCGTGGAGCAGGAATACTTTAGCTACATGCATCACCAGAACGAAAACCTCAGCTCAAGTGCTCTCAGCCTACGGGTTTCATAAAAATGCCGTGGAAAAGTGTCATAAAAATGTTAGGACACGCGTTACCTCATTACCGTTTTCTTAGAGTAACTTGGTAACTTGGCTGAGATAAGCTATCCAGCACTGCTAACCTTGTGTTCACTCTTATCTGGCCAAGCTTGATCAGAGGCTGCGCACTCACCTGAATGACGGGCCGGAACTTTCTCTTGAAAGAGCCCTCCATGATGAGGTTGTGCGTTGTGCCCACAAACACGTTCTCGTCGGCAGCGTTGGGCAGGTGTTGGCACATGGCATGCACGCCGCCCGTCCCCTTCGGCAGCTGTCGAAGGCAAAGCTCAGTAGATACGGGGAGAAGACAAGACAGCCACTGAACTGAGACAAGGCAATTCTGTTGCGCTGCAGCGCCATACTAGACCAACCTCCAATTCGCAACTCCAGAAAACGCTCCGTGTGCTGGCAAAACTGGTAAAAAAAAACAAATATGGATGTGCTTAACAAGGTCAATGCAGCATTTTCGCTTGGCACTGTGTTCAAGTTTCTCGATTTTGACGGCGTATTGCCTTGCTTCGTCGAAGACGGAAAGTTGCTGGCGGCGGACTGCCTTATTTTCATCAGCATAAATGATTTTACTCCCCAAACAGCGGGAACAATGGCCCTGTGCGCGCATGCATCAAGACTCTTCGGCGAACTTCATACATTTGCTTAAAGTTGGAGAACCTGTGTAGTGATCCCGAGGTTGAAGAAGGCAACTGCTCATATGTAGAAGGCCTCTCCAAAGGGGCTAGCACTTTGGCACTGCCTGGCTACACTGCTACAGGCAAGGCCTTATCAGTTTTCGAAGTAACTATGCTGCGATTCGTGCTGCCTACTGCCGTCAAGTACTCCATTGGCAACTATTTTTGAAGACAATTAATTCATTCTGGTAATGTGGTATAACCACATACGCTGTGGTTAACTTCTAACCAATTTAGTCAACCTATTTACTACCATCACTGGCTAATGTTGGCTTGACAATGGCTAACGTTGGTAGATCCACCTTTATAACGGGCACAATGGCTTCGTCCCACCTCAATCCATCAATTTAGTTGTATAGTGGTTGCTTTGTCTTCTTCTCTTGGAAATGAATCAATTTTAAATAAAATACATACAGAACGAATGCTTAACGTGTAAAGATAAGCGCATAGGCGTACTAACTTCAAGAGGAGTTTCCACTGATGCGAATAAAAATTTGTGCACTCGCGGATCATCTATGACGCATGTTGTCACCAAAAAAATGTTATGTTTTTATTGCACCTGTGAAACATGCCACTGATGGCTTGTTAATTTGCGGTAGGCGCTGCATGGCTACAATCATACACAAATTAATTGAAATGAACTATACCAAGGCCTTAGCCTGTGCCTTCATACATATAAAAAAGAACAGCGCCCATTTGCAATGCCAGGGAACCACATGTCACATTCGTAATTTTTCCTACTCCTGTGAATTCTATTAAGTTATTTGCTGTAGTTAAGAACAAGAGTCTCGCTGTGCGGGAGCTCAGTGATCGTGGAAGATGCCTGACAGTACTCGCCGTAGAAAATCTTGTACGAGTGCGGGCTTCGCATTGTTATAATGGGTGGTTTGTAACAGTCATACAATGCACATATGTGATTCTACTTTTTGTGTGATGAAAAGAAATTTTGGAAACATGAAGTATCGCTGAAGCCAACGTTCAGACAAGTGTTCATCTTCAAGACTGGCATTGTAGACCTTAGAGAGTGTATGTGTAATTTCTGTACCCCCCAAAAAGCACTTGCGTCAAGGTGGCAGGACTCGGCTAAGACGAAGTAGTGATCTTCGTTGCTATTTCTTAGCGCGTAGGTCTCAAACTCACAACAGCTGTGGGACCACAGTCACACATGAGTGGAGAGGGTGAAAGCGAAATGGGCAAGGGTTTGACCAAAATGGTACCTAACGGTGCCATTTGAAAGAAGACCTTGTCCATATCCCATATATCATCATTTCTGATTGAGATTTGACGTCAGGCTTTGCAAAACATATCGGTACGGATTTACACATTCACCGCAAAAATCTAAACACCGATTGTGAGTATTTTTGTAGTTATATATAAAGTTACGGTGACCGCACATGGTAACTAACAAAAAAAAAACCTCTAGTTTGAGTGCCGTTTCTCTATGATACTCGAAAGAAGCGCTATAAATTACAATACCTCAGGAAATAATGCTAAAAATGTTGAACCAAGTCTCGACAGTGCATTCCATGCAGGAGTCGCGGGCAGCCATCAAAATGTAGGCGTGCCGCGTCTTTGAGACCCCTGTCTTAAGAGGGAATATGAATTTCTCCAACAGCGTCACGAAGCAGTTTCTAGACCAGTAAAAAATACGAACGAACTCGAGTAATAAACAGTAATTAAATTCACCGTTTCCATCTTATCATCCTCGTAATTTTCAGGCAATTTTTATGCCCACTACTGCACCAAGGTTTCTCAGAATGCTATCTGATACGGCATATATATTGCGCGAGATGATTCTCCGCTAACTTACTGATTTAATCGCTTCATTTGCCTTCCCCGACTGCGTCTCCCAATCCTTTGCAACAATTCTGTTGCTATTACTGTCAACTGACTATATGTCTGGCGCATTAAGTGGTCAGCCCTGGTCCGCATCTATTAAATATTACCAAATATGATGCCACCTACACGCATTAGTTGCATGACCAATTACACTGCCTTCCGAACTATTAATAGTAGGTACGCTTCGATGTTCTTCCTTCACATCTTGTACGACGGACGGACGGACGGACGGACGGATGGATCCCTAAACGGCAAGCGTATTGATGACCGTAATCACTCTTACGTGTCAAAGTGCCATTGTACGATGATTCAACGCGTGCTTTCGAAAAGGCATGGGAAAGTATCAACGCTATGAGCATATACTTGCCGATGTCACGCCAAGCTCTTGAAATTTCTTGTCGGCATCCCACGCCTTGATCTGATCTTCTCTGTCTACAGCCGACGCTGATACTAGCAGATTGTGTGGCAGAAACAGGAGGACGTTCACGTCGTTCTGAGATAAAGACAAAACAAAAAAGTGAAATTACATAAAAACAGGTGTAACAAGAGTGAAACAACTCTTTATGGAATAGTTTACGGCCCTTCTCATTCAATACTACAGTTTACGAAGCCGCGTGTTTATTCAACGTCACGACTGCCTGGCATCTTCAATAAAAACTGCTTTAGCATAACTGATTTTAAAACAAAACACTTGCGGGAAGCTGCAAGAATAAATAAACGTCACACGTAAGTTTTACATGTGTTCAGTGAATAATTGCGTACGCATTTAAAGATTGTGCGAAAAGCAACGCGTGAAGTAGGCAGAAACGATGTGTGAAGATTGTTGCGTCCACACATGTGTGTATCGCGTCATTTTCACATTGTGGCTGCTGTTCACTTCATGTTCCATACAAATGGCTCAATTACCGACCACAGCAAATTTCCCACTGCCACAGCGTTTTGCAAATGATATGGGCATGTTTTCTGTTGTGAGAACAGTATACCACAAGAACAAAGGCTCTGTAGTACCTTGTATGTGTAACCTGCCGCCTAAGTCTGTACTATTGATAATAAAGATGCACAACTGATTGAACAGATTTTCTCTGTGCGCCTATGTTTGCGAATAAGAGCTGCACAGCGACCATCATGTTCTGACCTCGTGTGCCCTGAATTCCTTGCTGATGAAGAAGTAGCTGCCTTCCTTCGAAGCCGACCAGACGGTGATGTAGCCCGCGTCGTCGCCTGTCACGAAGCCTGCAGTGCCCATGAAGTCGACAGCCGTGATTGTCTTCGGCGCGTGTTCCTGTGCGACGAAGGAACTGTTGTTTAACGGCACAAAGCGCTGTTATCGGCGCACATTGGGGCCATGGAGGCGCCACATACTAACATTGTTTCCAAAATATTGTGTGCAAAACTAACGCTACTATTTGCCACCGGTGAGGGTAATGTTACAAGCGCGTATTTACAATAAATAACAGAATGTGGGCAGCTACTCGCGAAACGACTTTCAGACAAATAATTAAAGGGACATCGGAGAAAAAATTATGAGCAAAATTGTCCTTTCGCAATTCCGAAGACTTATCCTGTCTTCCCAATTCAGAATAGCCCAATAAATGAGGCATTCCAGCTGCGCCTTTACTTCGTCCAGTTTTTTTTTTTTTTTTTTGCGGTATTCGCGTCGGAAGAAGGTGGCTTCAACGTTGGCCGGCATCGGTGTTAACATACTAAGTAGAGCTAACCTATTTTCCACATTGCCCGATCAAATAGGAATAACGGCTGCTATAAAAGCATTTATACATTTCCTGAAGAGTGCTGAATTTGACACCAGACTTAACGAAGACCACACTGTTACGTGGCCATTGTACATATGCATCACGTCCTCCTTTCGTGGCCCGCAATCGTGTTTATGACTTTTTCCTTCATTTTCCCTTATGCTCAGTAGCTGGCCAAAGCGCACAAGCCCAGGCCGACCTCTCAGCCTTCTAATAATTTCGCTCTTTCTCGTGTGAATGAAATATTCAACTAGCTCCGCTTCGTGGACACCAATTAAACAGTGAATATGGTAGCATTGCAGGTTTTAAGGGCGAAGCTCCTTAAGGCGCGGGTCGCGCGTCTCCTGTATGTAGTAGCCACCTCTCGTTTTAGTCCTTGGAATGTCCGCGGGATGGCGGTACATGTATATGATGAATATACGATGAAAAGATGCCAGATAACGGTACTTCGAGTACTAAAATGACGGGCGGACAGACAGACAGACAGACAGACAGACAGACAGACAGACAGACAGACAGACAGACAGACAGACAGACAATGTTCTGTTGGATTGTAATTGATGTTCACTGTCTGTAAGAATAAATTTCTCTAAACACAGACAGACAGACAGACAGACAGACAGACAGACAGACAGACAGACAGACAGACAGACAGACAGACAGACAGACAGACAGACAGACAGACAGACAGACAGGCAGGCAGGCAGGCAGGCAGGCAGGCAGGCAGACAGGCAGGCAGGCAGGCAGGCAACGGACGGACGAGGCCTGCGGATGATTCACGGCTTGCCGATGAAGCCCTTTGAAGCTCCCCCCCCCCCCCCCCCTCATCATTCAACTCGTGGATACGCGGTGACTTTTTTCATATATGTTATATCGCTGACCTTTCTCAAACACGCTTTGTTAAGCTTTGAGGTAATGGTACCTCCTTCTATAACCCCTAAGTATCACGTGACAGTGTTGTGGTAACACCATTACCTGAGCTAACTGTAGCCTTCTTCGTTTTCAGTAGACCCGGTGACGAGTACTGGGATCAGTGGCACGTATGCGCTTTTGGGATGATGATGATGGGCCTCACAGATGGCAGTATGCATGCCTGTTCGTTGGTTTTTCAATTTATTGCCTTCATTTTCACTGGACCAGTGGTGAGTTGTGAGAGCGAAGCCGGTGGCCTTCCATAGCGTGTACGCAATCTCCAACTCACCTCCACTGAACCCTCCCTTCCCTTGTCCTCCTCACACTGTTGCTTCTTACTCTTCCTTCAACCCCTCGCTGTACTATGCTATACATCGCTATGCTGTGGTTTACCTATAGCTACCTCCTACTCACCGTCACTTGTCTTTCCCACCCCGTTATATACCGCCTACTGCGTATATTGCCACGTTCCTTTCCTCAAGCTTTGTTATCACCCCGTTTCACTACGTTCAGCGCCAACCGCGCCTACACAATGTTCGAGAAGCTTCGAGGCTGTAGTAGATCATTTTGTTAAGATTACGCCCACTTTGCGAACATTACATATTACGCTGGAACCTACGTCACCGCCAGCGATAACGCTAGAATATTCGATGGCAAGGGTATAAATGCCGATACGCTTCATTCACCGCTTGTCAGTTGATCGACGGCCGACGCTCCGGTCACCCCTATCAGTGCCAGACTGCTACTGTAATCCAACTTTCCGTTGACTGGGCGTAGGTTCACCCAAATAAACATTTTATTATTCGACACGCAGTGTACTCTGTTTGTCCACGTCACGACCCCGTGATGGACTATGACGAATGGAGTACACTGTGAGTCAAATAATAAACAGTTTATTTGAGCAAACCTGTGCCCAGTAAACGGAAAGTCGGATTACAGTAGCAGTCTTGCACTGATAGCGGCTAACGGAGTGTCGGCCGTCGATCAACTGCTCACGGACGGACGGACGAACGAACGGACGGACGGACGGACGGACGGACGGACGGACGGATGCGGTCAAAGTCACCGAATTTCTTTTGAAATGCTTCGCACTATTAGTGAAGCTCACGCGTGGCTTGTAAATTCTGAATATTTTATTTGAGAACATATACTCACAGCGGTGATGGCGTCGAGACGGTCGAGGTAGTTTTCTTTCCCCTTCCTCCAGAAACACAGGTGCTGCACGCCGAACGTCAGGAACAGCTCATTCTCGGACGGCGGGAAGTGGCAGCCCAGAACTGGAGCTGGGTTTGCCTGAGGCCGAAATGGCCAAGCACGAAACATTGAAGCACATAGGTATGTTGGTACATCGATGGGTATTATCAGAGAAGCATGCATGGAGCCATGCACTTTGCCGCATAAAAAATAAACAACGGTGCAACATCACGGGGGTCGTCTCCAGGTCCCCGCAGCGAGTGCTTGTCAATAAGACACACATTACCACTTCGAATGCATCTCCTAGATTCAAGTACGCCGACCGAAGCATCGTAAGAAAAATGGGCACACCGCACGTACAGCACGTACAATGGGAATCGATGATATGCGAAGCACGAATGAGGAAGGTTGATATGTTTTTTTTTAATCAGCACTACGTACGAGGCAGGCGTAAATGTACATGACTTCCATGTCGCGACTACCGCATTTAGACGTCTCATTTACCAACAGATCACAACGAAGTAGTAGCAGTAATAAAAAAGCTAAAACGAAATGTAGCTGCGGGTATAGACGGAATTACTTCGAATGCAGTAATACATGTCGCGCATGAGATTAGCGAAGTGCTAGCATATTTACTAAATTTAACATTAACTGGTGTAATTTTCCCGGAAGAATTGAAAATAGCCCGAGTTACGCCAATACGCAAAGGGGGGGGGGGATAATGGACAATTTAGTAATTACAGGCCAATATCTATCTTAACTGTGCTTCAAAGATTTTCGAAGATATAATTTACGTCCGATTATTTACATTTTTTAACGCACGCAAGGTAATTACAACGAGTCAGTACGGCTTCCAAAAGAATAAATCCACTGAACAAGCACTCTTGTATATCAAAGATAAATTAATAACTAATATTGAAGACAAAAACTATACGCTTGGTCTATTTTTAGATCTAAAGAAGGCATTTGATTCTATGGATAGCAAAATTTTGTTACAGAAGTTAGAGAAGTACGGAATTAGGGGTGTTGCAAGTCGGTTGCTGAAAAGGTATTTAAATAATCGTCAACAGTTCGTACGTATGCAGGATGTTTCATCTAGTTATCTAACGCTTGAACGAGGCGTCCCTCAGGGCTCTAAGCTAGGTCCGTTATTATTCATAATTTTTGTAAATGATATAGTTAATATACCTGATTCCCCAGAATTAATAACGTACGCCGACGACACCAATCTATTTTTTAAATCACAGGACCTGAATGAATTAGAATACAGTGTGAATCACTAGCTTGTATCACTAGCTTGCTGGATGAATCAAAATAAATTGCAATTAAACGCTGAAAAAACAAAATACATTATATTCAGGTCGCGCAATACACCCATCGATAAGGAAATAACCATTACTTATGCAGGAATGAAACTGCAACAAGTGACATACCAGAAGTTTCTTGGAGTGACGTTTAATGAAGAGTTAAGCTGGAACGCGCATATTAGCCAACTATGTGTAGACTTATCAAAAAGCATTGGTATTATGTACAGAATTTCTAAACTGATTCCCCTATGGCTGAAACAACAGCTATACAATTGCCTTTTTTATTCTAAGTTGTGCTATTATTCTACGCTGTGCTTATTCTAAGCTGTGCTTTTATTCTAAGCTGGAACAACTACCAAAACTGACTACAAGAAACTTGTACTTCTACAAAAAATGGTTCTCCGCATATACTGCAAACACCAAGGAAATTACGCAAACTTGAGGACAGCACCTTTATTTCAAAGATATCATATGCTTCGTGCCGATGAAGTCTATTATATGAAAATATTGCAAATCATATACAGCAGAAAACTGTATGAGCCCAACGAAGGAGCTAGACAACACACTTATCCGATCCGCCAAATCTTACGCCGTCCACAACGAACAAGAACAAATTATGGTAAACAAACTTTTACCCATCAAACAACTTGCATATTAAACAAATTAGAACATAAGCTTAATTTTCACTGTACAGAAAAAGCATTTAAGGTACAAGTTACAGAAGTGCTAATGCAGGAAAACATACTTTTTGATGGATCCTAAAAAATACTGATGTTAGCAATGGTAGTAGTCGGGCGATAGAAATCTTGTACTGCATGTATTTTATTACCTATAAAATATAATGGTATGTATCACATGTCTCTAATGTTCTAGTCTGATTCCTTCCTGAGTGATCGTTATTTAAGTATGTTATGTAGTAAGTATGTTACAAGATTTGTATAATCAGTCAGATTCAATGTAACATGATATATTTGTCAGCTATTCTTTGCTCTTTTGCTTCTTTTGTTCATGAAGGTCTGGATGCCGCGAAAGCTGTTTTTATTTTTATTTTTTTGATGTACTAACTGTGTACAAGGGTGTTGGGTCCTTTGCCAGGCTATATGCCTTTAGCCCCAACATCCTTTTGTTTCTTGTGTCTTGTACAAGAAAACAATAAAACAAATTTTGAATATTGAAAAAAAAATTGAAAAAAAATTTACCTTCGTCGTCTATTAACGTCACGGAATACCAAGTTTGGTAAATGTGGAGCTAGCGAAGCAGCCGCGAGCACACTAAGAGCACAGTACCTAGTCATGCTTTACATAACACGCATATCATGATTATTAAGTTTGCACCAGTCATATACCGCCGTAATTCATTCATGTCCCGTAATACTAAATTTGGTATATATGAAGCTAGCGAAACGACCATGAGCGCACCATGAGTGTGACGTGTAGTCATGACTTCCATGACATGCACGTCATGATTTCCACGTTAGGGTCTGATACTTATGTTCGCCATGCAATTATGTCACAACATACCAGCTTTGCAATATGTCATGTGAACAAAAGCTCCACAAGAACAACAATACCATGAAACGTAAATCATGGAAAACATGTCATGATTTTCATGTTATGACTGGTCACTTATGCTCGTTATACAGTCATGTTGTGCTATACCAATTTTGGTATCGATACCAGTATCAAAACGGCGACGAGAGCTAGAAGTCGTAAGAGATAGATAGATAGATAGATAGTTAGATAGATAGATAGATAGATAGATAGATAGATAGATAGATAGATAGATAGATAGATAGATAGATAGATAGATAGATAGATAGATAGATAGATAGATAGATAGATAGATAGATAGATAGATAGATAGATAGATAGATAGATAGATAGATAGATAGATAGATAGATAGATAGATAGATAGATAGATAGATAGATAGATAGATAGATAGATAGATAGATAGATAGATAGATAGATAGATAGATAGATAGATAGATAGATAGATAGATAGATAGATAGATAGATACGATCAAAGTCGCTGAAGCTCGCTAAGAAATGCTTCGCATTTATTGATTTGTGTGGCTCTAGCAATGAGCTCATCATAACCAATTGACGTGACAGAACAAGCTCTTATTTCAAGACTAGAAAATTTTCTTATTTCAAGACTAGAACTCTCGTCCTATCTGAGATAGGACAAGAGTTCTTATCTATGTGCCTACAATATAAACGACGTACAATATCAGCTGCGACAATATAAGCGCGTTCAAACGAACTGCGGCTGTGCGACACATATAAGAACCACCAAAAGCACGAAGGGCGACGCGGTTTATTAAAGTGGTGATTTAGGCTTTTTGGCTCATGCTCATTGCACATCATCTTCGTCATCAGCCCCACTATGCCCACTGCAGGCTTCTCCCATATTCTGCCAGTCAACTCGGCCCTGCCACTGTATACACGCAAACTTCCTAACCTCATCTGCCCACCAAACTTTCTGTTCCCAATTCACCTATATACTTGCCTTCTCTCGAAATACAGTCTGTAATACTTAATGACTAGCCGTTATCTTGCTTTTTCGCACTACCTCCCTTGCCCATGACCATTTCTTTTTGATTTGAACTGTGGTGTCCTGAACACCCGTTTGTTGCCTGATATATGCTGCTCTTTTCTGGTCCCTTAGGCTTACACCTATCATTTTCTATTGCATTGCTCGCTGGATCGTCCTCGACTTAAGTAGAACACCCTTTGTAAACCCTACAGATTTCTGCTCCGTAGATAAGTACCGGTAAGATGCAGCAGTTATATACCTTTCTTTTGAGAAATAGTGGCTATCTACCAGTCTTCATTTGAGCTTATGGCACGCTACAACGAAAACAAAAATGCACAACGAAACGCAAACGTCGTCGTTGTTTGTGTTTTTTCCGGGCATAATGTATTTTTTGCGCTGTAGTGTGCCGTGAGTAACTCCGTCGGTTGCGTCATTACTACCCATCAAAGTGTTCATTTCGTGACCTCCAAACTACTTCTCAAATACGCACGGAAAACACGACTCATCTTGCACTTGTACGTAGTTCAAGGTACGTCATCTCCTTTCTCGAAAAAAAAAAAAAGCTGGAGGCGACATTGTACAAATGCCTCTTCAATCAGTTCCCTATATGTTGCGAGTTGGCTTATGGCGCTGAAGGCCCATTACAATGCAGCTATAGTCACACCAGTCGAAGTGCGCCACCACAAGAACTCCGGCTGGCAGTTTCATTCTCGCGTTCTAGCAGTGCTCCTGTAATCTGTCAGTATGGCACCTTCAAGGCGCGTTTTACACATTCCTAGCCAGAAATAGACCAGTATGATAAGCATTCTCGGTGGCCCAATTGGTCTGGTATAATCAAGAGCCTGCAAAACGTCTCGCGTAATTTGCATTAACTTCGACCGACTTACACCCCATTTGCTACTTTCAGCGAATAAATCCGAAACGTTTTGCTATTTACATGCTTTACCACAGGTTTGAGTGCGACTTCAGATGGGAAATGTCTTATTTTTATTAAAAATAATTATTTTACACGCTAATGAACAAAAACGAGCTGACGAGTAACTCACAACAGCTCTGCCAAGGATCTCGTTTTTCTGCCAGTCCCACAGGGAGAGCTCGTGGTCGTGGCTGGAGTCTACAGCAACTAAAAAAGGCCCCTAAAAGAAATACATAAATTGCATTCAATATAAGGCACATGTATATGTATTATAGTAACGTAGACGTACATCCACACTAGCAAAATATATCTACCTAGCATACAATACGAGAATTTTGTGTCAGGTAACAAGCAAGATGACGACGCTTTAGTACACTGGAAAAATTATGTCATCACGCACATCGAGGTTATTTTACCTCGACACTCATTCCATTTTATAAGGTCGTCTGCACTGTTTTTAAGAACTCAGTTCCAACAGACTAGATTTGTTATTCTACATGGGCACGTGGAACTCCTAAGCAGGTAAGCAAGCTCAAAAGTGTCGGTGGCCCTTGATCAGAAGGCCCTCTCCATTTTCTTACCTGTTTTGTTTCCGTTTTGATCTGACTGTGTCAGAAAAGAAAATTTCCCAATACTTTATTAATTTTAACTCATTGCATGCCTACCGATTTCGAGAAAAGCAGCGCAGCGGCTTCATAACATAGCAAACTTATTATTAACGAATAAGTGCAGCCAAGCAGTGGTGAAAACTTTTATTGGTTATGAAGCTTGCCGGGAAATTGGTGGAGTCCTAAGTAGCTTGGTCAAGGAGGCTCTTCCGATTTTCGCCAGCTAGCCGGGTTTTCGTTCGGGGTGATGTCTTTAATCGGGTGGAGTGATTAACATAGCCACATAACGTAGGTGGATCCCCACACCACGTACAACAGTATATTGTGAGATTTGAGTGGTATTTTCTCTGTAAGCAAAGGTACGTGTTGGTTTGTACTCAATGCCGATCTCGCGCCTTTTGCACAGTTGGCTCCGAATGCAGACGTCTATTTTTTTTTTGTTTCTTGTCCTTCCCCTTTTGTTGGTTTTCGAGGATGTCCCGAGGAATTTTCGGGGTTTGGCCGAGGGTTGCGACCAGTGTTCGAATGCTTATTGCACGAGAAGCCCGTCAGTCTTTTTATTGCCACCAAATCCCGCATGCGCGGTGCACTAAAGTATTGGATGTGGATAATTACTCATCGTTTCAGCAGCATTCGTGGCAGAGTTCATGATGTGATTAAACGAATAAATTTTCCGACAATCGTGGCAGTCTTCTCAATGTTACTGAATGATGTCAACGTTAAAGATTTGACCATGTTCTCGGCTTTTCTCGGAGTACGAGGAAAAAAATTTTTGCCTGCTCAATATGGAGTGTCACTTTCTGGAAGCACAAAAGCAACAGCGTAGTGAAAAGGCAAATGATCAGGTAACTGTTCTCTATCCTACTTCTGACCCCCTGTAGCGGGCAATATTCCTTCCCAGGTGCTACTGCCTGATCGTGCAGGGACGACGCTGTGCTCCACACAGTTACCGGCAACCTACGAGAAGCTTCCGACGCTAGTACCCATTGTGTACCTGCTGGCTTGCCCTTGAAGACGTATTCAACGCCCAGCCCGGTGTCTTCTTTCTGAGCTCTCCCTATGCCAGATTTGCTCAGCGATTTCTTCCAGAAGACTTCTGGAAGATATTACTCCACGCTTAATCAATACGTTTTCCCGAACTTTAATACAGGCACCTGTTGCTGTCTGACCATAGCTCAGTGATGTGACTATTATAGTCCAGCGTCGGCGAACAGTGGAGAACTTAGTCTAGCTTCATGGTGCAGCCGGTGTGCCCTGACAAGCGAGTGGTTGCCCACATCGCGTGTCGTCTGCTCCACAGAGATTCGGGGCGGTTGCGTCCATTTATGCACGTGTTCGTGTTTTCAGTGTTATGGCCGGGTTGCGTATTTGTTGTTTGTGTCGGTAACGGGTGATTAAGTGGTTGTCGCGTCTCTGCGCTTGTCACTACGGGAACTATGTGGTGAATCTAAAAGAATGTCGAAGTCAAAGCAACATAAGGGAAGGACTTGCTTAGTGTCGTTCGACAAAACTGTTTACCTCAAGAACAAACAGTGTGTATCATTATTTATGGCTACATCACATGAAGCCCACTTCACAGCATGGAACAGGAGAATAATGCAGGCGAAGAGGAGACTCACACTAACAGCTGTGGTTTGCGAAAAACTTTTAGACGCGAGTTTCATCGAGTGCGTGTTCACCATCACCGTGAACGGCGTTGTCAACAAGGTTCCTCGCAACAAACCATGCCTTAAAGCTCATCCGGTTCCTACAATATTCCCTGAATATTCATCTGTAGCAAAATACCAACAGGATGACAAAAAGAAACTTGTCCAAGTAATATTTTAGCACAGCGCGCGCTGCAGGAACGTCGACTCAGCTTGCCGCCGAGGGTCCGAAATAGCAACTGTGAGTTCGTGACGCTAAACGACTGGTACTGAAAGTAGCCATCCAATCTCTCATGCCTGTCGCATTGGCTTGAGGCGTCATCCCTACCAGCAGAAATGGCAGCTTACGCTTATTATGAAAGTGAAGCGAATAACAGCGCCACCCTATGAATTGACAAAATATGTACTTCGAAAAGGTTCTGCCTGAAGACAATCGTAGCTGCGGCTTTCTAGTTATGGTGTATACCCCAGAGGACGAGAGAAATACAGGCAACCACCTGACACGTACGTATCGCTGAGGCTGAATCTCTTAGCAGAAAAATTTCAATAATTAGAGCTTTTTATCGTAGTTGTGGCTTCATCGAAACACAACCCGGATGCTATTAGCCCCGAGAAGTTGGAGTGGCGCCGCCTGGCGGATGACGTCATGGCACGGACTCTTCGATGCCAGCCTCAGCGCGCCTACGCTCTCGTCGGGAGCTGTTCCGCGGTTTGCGATCACCTTTTGCTTCAATGAAGCTGCAGATGGATGAAGAAAGCAGAATTCTTGTTTTTAGGGTAGAAATATAAAAAGTTTACTTTTGCAACTGCACAATCACGCGCTGGGTCGTGTAGCGATCTAAAAGGAGTGAAAAGGTCTGCGCCGCGCTTCTAACCCCGGTGATGGATTCCATTCGTGGCCACGACAGCCGCATTTCGATGGGTGTGAAAATCAAGAACATGCTTCTGTTTGGATAGAGCGAATTCACTGGCGTATTATCCTGTGATTTTGAGAAGGAATTAAAATACCATATCTGCATTATTAGGTTGAAATGTGCATGGGTGATTCGTTTCGCAGATATGAGGCCTTCTGCACTAGAATAATTTGCACCGGAGAAATCCACCACGTATCTACAGACAGTGCTTTCACGGGCGTCAAACCTTCGCGCTCGTGTTCAGTATCGGGTCTCGCCCTGCAATACCACCACCGCTGTTGTGTGCTTTTCTCGTGTACACTACACACTTTCTTTCACGTTTCCCTCACAATACTTTTAAAGCTTTACCTGACCGAAATTATTCAGGTTAGCTGCGGAAATCGCTATTGCTGTCAGAATCTGTCTTCGTGCAGAATTGTAGCAACGGTGCGGTCGCGCTGCTAACTACCAGTTTAGATTACCACCTCATATCTTGAATTTCCTTGCAGTTGATTACCTATGGGTGGACATGGCATGCAAGACCAGTCGTCGCCTCATCGATGTGAAGGTTGTTTAATTAATACATGGGCTGAAAACCTATAGGTCGGAATTCCTTTTTTTTTTGGGGGGGGGGGGAGGGCACCTTTGTGATATAATTATTTTTCTCGCTGCATAAGGCTTCGCAGAGCCTCATGGAGCTTCGACGAAAGGGTCGTGGCGTTAGTGTGTCTGTACTGTGCCGGGCACTCCCACAGAATGTGCGGAAGCACACTTTACGACCAAACCTGGGTGACCCAGCACGCCCGTGAGGCAGCGTCGAGGCAAGCCCTTGACGTCTTCTGATTAGAGGCCTATATAGGCCCGGCCACCTAAAGCTGCTAATTTCTTATAATAAAGTTTATTCTTCTTCTTCATCCTCCTCCTCCTCCTCTGCATGGGGAAAATTTTTGGAGGCAGGGCACAGGCCCGATGCACCACTTCCTGGTTACATCACTGCATGGGTAACGTCGGTAAGTGCACCATCGAAAAAAAAAAAGAAAGTTCTCTAGAAGCGTACGTAACTGGGCGAGTTAGAATGTAATGTAACCCAGCGCAGAAGACGACACAAAAAAGAAAGATGACACAGGACAACCTGTGTCCTCCTTTTTTGTGTGTCGCCTTTGCGCTGGGTTTTTTGCTTCATGAAGAAAAAGAAAAAAATGGCAGCATATCCACGGAGCGAATGATGGAGAGTGGGGCGAAGCATCCGTCCATCCATTCGTTAATCTTCCGTCCATCCATGCGTCCGTCTGTGTGACCGTCCGTGCGTCCATTCGCCCGTCCATGCGTGCGTCTGTTCGTGCGTCCGCACGTCCATCTGTGCGTCCGTCCCTGCGTTCGTCCATGCATCCGCCCCTGCATCCGTTCATGCGTCCATCCGTCAGTGCAGCCATCCGTGAGTCCGTCCATGCATCTGTCTGTGTGTCCGTTCGACCATCTATTCAATATTCCAAGTACCACCGTCTTGCATCTTTTCATCATATGGATGGATGAATGGATGGATATGGTTGTACCCTTTAGATCGGGCGGTGGCTAGCGCCACCAAGCCGTAATACTTAATGAAGCAAAAACTAGATTTATTTTTTTTCTTTAAAAAGTGAGTTTGAGGATTCGTACTTTGCAGTGAAGAGTTTAATTTTCACTCGTGCCTTGACTTTAGCCACTAATCAGATAACCTCCTTCTAGTTAAGTCTACCCGCTTAAAGTATATTTTGCCCTCCCGGTCCCTAAACCCCAGTGCTTTGAAAACCTCTGCGCCATCATCCTGAACTATAGGGTAAAGCCCTTTACAGAACATTATCAAGTGTTCGGCAGTTTCTTCTTCCTCTCCACACGCACTGCATACTGTGTCTACCCCTTCGTATTTGGCCCGATATGTCTTGGTTCGCAGTACTCCCGTCCTGGCCTCAAACAGTAGAGAACTACCCCGAGTATTATCATAGATCCTTTCCTTGGCAATTTACTGCTTAAAAGTTCGATAGATCTCTAGTGCGGACTTCTTAATCATGCTCATTCTCCACATGTCAGTCTTCGTTTCCTTCACTTTCTTCTTAACCGATAGTTCTTTTTGATTTGGCCACCTGCTGTTTTCTAAGTATTTACCAGTCAATTTCCTGGTTTGCTTCCTCCATTTTGTATCGACATTCTTCATGTACAAGTAGCTCAAAACCTTCCTAGCCCAACGCTCCTCCCCCAATTATCTCAATCGCTTCTCAAATTTTATCTTGCTGCTAGCTTTTCTGCCCTCAAATGATGTCCATCCCATATCACCTTGTACTACCTGATTTGGTGTATTCCCGTGAGCCCCTAAACAAGCCTACATATTCCACGTTGCTTAATTTCTAATCTTGCTTGAACTTCTGATCTCATGCACAAGACCGCATTGCCGAACGTCAGCCCAGGAACCATGACCCCTTTCCATATTCCTCTCACAACATCATACCTATTGTAATTCCACAGTGCCCTATTTTGCATCACTGGTGAATTCCTGTTACCTTTAGTCGTAACGTATGTTTCGTGTTCCCTCAGGTACTCGGTCCCATTGCTTATCCATACGCCCAGATATTTGTATTTATCTGTTATCTCAAGCGTGACCTCCTGTATCCTAAGCTCACTACCTTCGTTGTCATTGAAAACCATGACTGCTGATTTTTCCTTACTGAATCTAAAATCTAACCTATCTCCCTCATTACCGCAGTGTCCCCTTTCCGCATATGCCCCGCCATATGCACCGCCATCCAGCGGACATTCCAAGGACTGAACGAGAGGTGGCACACGCACACTTTCTTACGGCTTGCGCTTCGGGTTCACTTCCCACCTTTAACCACCTCGAGTTCATGGTATATACTAGTTCACTGTATTCATGGCTCTGCGGCTCAACGCTCGTTAAACCTTTTTAAAACCAAGGAGGTTACGCCCAGCGATTATAACGTAGCAACCCTTTCTTGTCATATAGTGCTCAATGTACATGCCAATGACTGCTAAGGGGGAATGAGAGACGGGAGAATTCGGCGGTTAGATAACGCGCACGCTGCAAATTTTTTATTGTTAAACAACGCACAGAAGAAATCTCTCACCAGCACCAACTTGGAGGTAAAAATGTAAGACTAGTTACACACTACGACTACTACTACGACTACGAGGGACGAACGGGTGCCGCTATGAGAAGCTTCGCCCCTGAAAAAAAGTTCATTTATATTTTCTGACGTTTGGGTTGAATTTACTGCTATCAGCGGTGCTCCCACGTGAAGCACCCTTTAGGGTTTGTGACGCGGTGGTAGAACACTCCTGCATTTCTCACAAATGAGAGTTTTATGACTACATAATTTCTGGCAACTGTCGAGAAGAAACTTGTACATATTATCCCAATAAGCGGAAAATATCTCATTATTTCCGAAATCATTCTGTGAGCGGCAGTATTGTTTTGTTTGTTTGACGAATATGTTAAGCGATGGCTTATGACAGTAATATTCATGTAACGTCTCCTGCTGGAGCAAGTGCAGTCAGCTCAAATTATTTAGATTATTCCCAGATGCGGGCGTAACTTGCACGGTAAAGCGCAATGTATTCAGTGAATTGAAAATGTCCCAATTTTCTTTGTGATACTTCGGCACCGATATGTTATAATCCCGGAGTCTATGCCTAGTCGTAATCACGTCAGCACCACTTAGATTTTTTTAGCACCCATTCTGTGGTGTACGCGATACAAACAACGAACGCATTTTCCTGTATCACCATTCTCATGTGTAAATCCTTCGTTCGTACGGTAGTCTGCATATCCTAAGCTAAATTATGGAAACTTCTAACAGTTTCAAAAACGTTCACTAGTTGTGAAAGCTTGCATTTTCTATCTTGAAAATTTGTGTCACGAAATTGAGGAGTGATCGCAACGTATCGCTAAAAAGCGTGTAAAAGGCGGGCCCAGAAAAAGGCAACAAGTGCTGGTGGAGCAGGCGCGCCCTCACCGTGACGTCACATTGCCGCAACCGTAGCGACGCCAGTGTTCGTTCTCGGGGATAATATATACGTATTTCCTCGAGCCATCTTTTCTTAAACACGAAAGTGTTTCATGCCGGGGTCCACCAAGACTTCAGTGACGCACGTTTGTCACGGAAATTACGTAAGGAAGAGGGGTGTTCTATGCTGGCCAATTCACATTCGCTTGCGGACGGCTTGAGGGCGCTGGTGGTGGCGTTTTTACCAGCGCCACTTTGGGCAGATTCTAATGTCTATCGCTGCGGCTTTGTTGCGTGTGTCGTGCAGTTTACCGTCCATGAAAAGTTTCTCAGCCGTGACTATGCTCTGTCTAGCGTCCAATAACCTGCGTTTACAGGCATCCTATTACCGTCTTACTACGATTGGCTCTGTGGTGATTGTCTTCAAGATAATGCCTTTTTTTTTTGCTCTCTCACACACGATTGCAAAAGTCGTGCATCCCATTATCTATGCACGAGAAAAGTGGTGGCATGGTAGAGACTATTCTACAAACATTTTCAGTGCGATAAAAATATATATGACCTCTCTCGGTAAATTTTTATCGTCGCCGTCGGTGGCGGCACCGCCATGATGTTTGCTATTAAATTGATAACATCATCCCGTGCGTCGTCGTGTCTGTGCGAGTTGTAGCGTGCGAGAGGTGCCATCAATTGCAGCTCAAGCAGAAAAGACCCACTCGGTGCATCTTTCGTTGCGTGAGGCAAGGGTCACTACACTCGCCTCCGGAATTAAATTCGCACTCTGACTGCCCACGGCTCGCGTATCTCTCAGCCCGAGAAATCTGCAGATCGCTCGTAGTTTTGTACAAGATAATTGCGCTGTCACAGTGATGTTTTCGTCGATGCCGCAGACAGCACGGGGCTCACTTTGCTTCCTAAAGGAGTGCGTTGCTAGAGAAACTTCCGTCATAAATTATTCCCGCTACCACATTCACTGTTTAGCCCTCGTGGTGAAGGTGCGACCTTTTTAAGAAAAAATATTCGCACATTGTCATCAAAAGCGCGCCCTTGATTTTGAGTTCAAATTATGAAATTATTAAACTAGAAACCACAATGACTAGTACTTTCTGCTGTCACTAACACAAACAAAATGTGGGGTTTTATGGCAATAAAATAGCTCAACCCCATGTACTCAGATTTGGGTGCACGTTAAAGAACCCCAGGTGAGACGCTCCCTGGATTTCGTGCCGACCGGTTGTGCGCCCGCGCGCTCCGCGCGCTCGCGACCTTCGGCGTCATCGTAGCGCTGGCCGACTGGGCTCGTCCTACGTCATCTCCTGTCGCCGACGACCTTCGACGACAGCGCAGCTCTGATTTACTGGTCCTGCTCTACGCCATCTACAGACGCCGACACCATCTCTCGCAAGTGTACCCCGTCCTCGGACTCCAGTGACCGTTCTTCCATCTTTCCTGTCTCTCCTATCCCCTCAGTTTGTTGTTGCTTCTTCTTCCTCTTTCCTATACCTTTACTTCTACCCTTTTATCCCTCCTTACCCCCATCCCTTTGTGAGCTCTGTGGCGGTGTCGCTCACTGAAGCAGACAATAACGGGGCTCACTTTTCTCTTCCTTTCCCTCAAGAACCACTTCAAAGAACCCCAGGTGGTCGAAATTTTCGGAGCCCTCCACCACGGCGTCTCTCATAATCGTGTGGTGGTACGGGGCGTTAAACCCCACATATCAATCAATGAATCAATCAATCAATCAGTCAATCAGCTTAACCAAACCTAGCATGGGCTGGACTCGGGCCCGCTCTGAGCCTGACAAAAGCCCGAAGTTCTGAGGTCCGGCTCGGGTCCAAGTTAACACCTGCTTACTTTTCCGAACCCGACCCACGAGCTTGGCCCAGGCAGTCCTCTAGTTTGGCGGGACTATTTATTGCATGGGTCTGCCATATTGGGCGTTTGTGTTTTGCATCTTACGGTAGACGCACGAAAACGATGTTCCACGGTCCTCACACTGTAGAAAAACAAGAAAACATCAACATACCAGACCACGATGGCGGCTCCCATGTGTCTCAAGTGAAATAGTCTACAAAATACAAAATTGTGGAAAGGCTCGTGCATTATGCAGCGAAAGTCATCATTGTGAAATAAAAACTGGGCAAAGTTTTTCGTACACCAACGTGATGTATCTCACCTGATATGAGAATGCAAGGCAAGACAGGCCTACATTTATGATTCCCGCCCCAAGAACCGCTAGTGTTTCAAGCGTGTCGGTCTTCCAAATGCGAATGTGGGCCTGAAAAAATAAAAAGAGAAGTAACTGGCAAAATGCGCATCGAGAATACGCTATTTTTTAGAGGATTCAATTCCCCGCCAGTACATTTCATTATGTGAGAATCGATACATAACAATGTCATGGTGAATTATAGCCTTTCTCGTCTACCCAAATCTGCAAAATGCTCTTCGTAACAAGTGCTGGTATGTCAAACTAAGTTGCCGGCGTATTTTCTACTGAGTGACATCGAGGACTGGTGCAAATGATTTTTCTACAGTGAAATATTTCGTCGGGCAATTTCGTTATACTAGATGAGATGCAGTGGTGTCGTGAACTGCAGGGCCGATATTACTCCGTTCATTGCAGTTCCAATTTTTTTGCTATTTATTTCAGTCGGATCAATATAGCGCATGCTGGTATGTAGAATAGCATGCAGTCTTACTGAAGAACTATAAAGCTGTGCGTATCCACCTACACTATTTCACTTTTATGCAAAAGTATGCACTACATGAGCGAAACGAATGGGTAGGGGGTAAGGATAAAAAGGACGCTGTCAGATTCAAAAGCATTGTAATATCAGAGAGTTGTATTGAGGGCATATAGACATCCAAGTATACGAAGCACACAGTCACTGGGGATGTTTTGAGCGGGCGTCTTTTATTGCACTGAAAGCTGTACATAACCATGCATGTCCTGAAGTGTGGATCGGCACCCGGTATCATAGCAAATGACGATGTACGATCGCCCCAAGTCTAGAACGCAGCGGCTGCCCTTGATTTTGTGTACATTGCCAGATTGTCTCAAAGGGCCCTGAATATTACGAGCAGCCATCATGTGCACCTTTGTGCAGGGCCCACTAAAGCCCAGTGTATTATTTGTTCCACGCTTTTCGGCAGAAAGCACTCCCTTCATGTGCTTCACACGCATTCTAAATGTGTAACAGAGTATCACAATAATGTAAAGCTTACTGGAGGTGCGTGATTGAAGCCAGCGCCCTGTCCCGTAGCCGCGACGTCTTCGTTGTAGTTGTACGCAATGCTGGAAAATCGAAGAAAAATATAACTTATACTGCCATCATTTTAAGGATGTGCAGCGCAGGGCGAAAAAACACAAAATTAAAATTGACACGGCACACGAAGCGCGAAGGGAACCTGAAGGCCATGGACCAACAAATCTTCAAGTTCATTTCGCAGCCAGTTTCGTATACGCCTACTGCGGGGCCCAAATTGCGCAACTGTACGGAGAAAAGCAGCGCATGCAAATTTATTATGGGTTTCTTCAGAGCCGGTGCTTTTAAAACGCGTATTTTAGCGATATAAGTTAGCAGTAAAGCTAAAAAAAAAAAGAGAGAGGTAACTTGTAAGGAAGGCTTGTCTATACTCGCAAGCTGTTATTTGTCAAGCTATTTGCTAACTGTTCCATCTCTGGTGATCAACAATGTAACGCAGCCATCGTTACACAGTATTCTTAGTTTAGAATTACCGAAAGTTAGTTTATAAAAACCTTAGTTAAAAACCGTCAAAGTTTTGTCGCAAAGCGAAGCAATGAACGCTAGAGCAATAACTAGGATGGTCGCGCGAAGAATGGCTAGCACGTCAAAACGTGCCCCGCGTTTCTCACGCAGAAATGACGCACGAAACGTACTCACAGGTACAGATGAACGCGAATAAGCGTCTCAGTTGATACTCAGCTGTCTGAAAAGCGCGTGTTTTTCGCAAACGGAGACTGTGCAACGAGTTCAGTAACCATTGTGCGCCCGGTAACTACAACAAAATTGTTTCGGTGAACGTCCAATATGATACAATTATTCCCACCGCGATATAAGTGAGCGCACGTGAGGGCGTCCCCTCTGCGCGGAGCAAAGCGCGTGTAATTTATGAGAGCGCGCACCGCAGCGTCGTGGCGATCTGGCGACGCTAAAGTCCCTAGATGAAACAAATTTGTATCATCTAGGGACCTTACGTGACGCGCCCTCACAGCGCCATCACGCTGGTAATGCTGAAAACACGATAGTAGGTCCCCGAGGTGCTCATCGCCAGCAGGAAGTGGTAGATATAAATAGCTTGCCGTTGCAACGTTGGAAGAGGTGCTCAGGTTGAAAGAGGTGCTCTTTCGTGGCTTAATTTCGCCTCGCACTCGCAATTCAGAGGTGGGAGGTTCGATTCCGTGTACCGGAGTCTTTTTCTAAATTATCTTTTTTCTTGCGTTTTCATTTATTGCCGCCGTTCGACATTCGTATAAGACGCATGCAACAATTTGCGTTCGTGAAAGCCGCCACACAAGTGGTATAAAAACTGTGCCATGGAACGCCGTCCTGCACGTGCTACGATGCTACGCCACGACACCGGCACGAGTCTCGAGGGGTAAAGAAGAAGAGGCAGACGAAGTTCTTGATAGCGAGCAAGAGACATATTTGGCCGGCCATTTAGTTTGGAGTTTACGGGCACAGGTTCGCCCTAAATAAATAGTCTTTACAATACAAAACTCTATATTTATTGGTAACAATATATAGATACGTATAGGTATACGATGAATGACGGCTACTCCGGTGGCAAAGTCTAGATGAGAGTGTCCACATAATTGCTCTCACAATAAAATGCAAGATATGCTCGCTCAAACCATTGTCCTATAGTTCAAGTAGGTCATGTATGTGGAAACTGCAGAAAAAACAAGAACGCATTGAACTGCGCGTCAACTTAAACAAATAAGTTTAAACACCTGTGCGTGTGCTCACCGTGATTACAAAGCGTTGGGGCTAAAGCAGATATGACTACAGATAATTTTTTGTCCAAATTTTTAATGCACACTAGAAAGAAACCTTGTCGAAAACAGTGCTCGCTTTGTATAATTTTTGCAAAGATTGTGTAGTGCCTAGAATGTAGACATTGTTGTACTGTAAAACAGGATTGTTTAACTGCTTGGCATTGACCAACAACTTGTTTTGGCAGTTTATTCATTAAAACTGACGCTTTTGCTGTAAACTCAACTCGGGGAAGGACAATTCAATAAAAGTATGATTTTACCTGTGCGACTACCGTGCCCTTTGATACCTTCTGATTGAACAGCAGCCGGTATTTTAAGTTTACGCACTATAGCGGGGTACAATTTACACTTGACACTGAAGGTGTCCTATAGTTGAAAGCTTAAGCTATCAACTCTAGTAGGTACGCTACATCACTAAATAGGATTTGTAGCCAACCGCACTGGCGCATACGCAAAGTTTAGCTTGTCAGTTGCTGGAAATCTACACCATCTGCAACCATATGGTGCATGCAAGATCTCTTATGAAGCCAAACGCTGGCAGCATTGAGATGCGATATTACGTTTGTCCTGTGCCTCGCCAACTTATGGACTCGCAGGACAAGACTTTTTGAATAAGTGGGCTGTTACCAGTCGATGTCCATAGAGTGTCCCATGTAGAAGCGCTGCTGGTGCTTGGACCGGTTGAAGAGGACAGCCAGAGCCGCCACATTGTACAGTATCTCTCCTGAGCGGATCACGTGGAGGTTGTTAAATGAGCCGTTGCCTTGGTAGCCATGACTGCCATAAGCACGTCAAGGGTGGTTCAAGTTTTACCAGAGATTCCAGGGTTGCTATGTTTGTCTACTCTGTGCCAGTTTGGCCACTTTCCTTGGGCTGTCAGCGGAAAAGGCGCCTTCAATACTCGGCTAGATTGTGCTAGTATTTGACCTTTCTATTCGAACCAAATCGCCAATATTGAATGACGTTGGAGCCCCTGACCTTTGAGAACGTGGTGTCAGGACTTTGTTGCGCATAGACTTCCCAGGTCTCAAAATTAGAAAGCTGTGTTACTAAAAGACAAGACACCTAAATACGTCACTGGAGTTTGAAAGAAAGAAACGTTTACATAGCACTTCATGTTGCGGGTTACCTATCGTTAAAGGCGTTTTCTTTTTTTGCCGCATTGGAAAATGAACCAGACAACCAAAAGTGGTCCCCATTCATAGCGATCTTCCCTCATCGACACTGAGAATCGGGTGTTTCTGCTTGTGTCATCTTCTCGCTCTTGCATACTTAACCAAGAAGTGATTACGAAGCCAAAGTTTATGATTCAATCCAAGCCATTAATGAGAGCTAACGAACAATCATTCCAGGAAACGTGTCGGAAATGGTATTAGAAGTAATTTTATACTGTAAATATGAACTAACGTGGACGAAAAGATAAGTTGCCACCGAAGGGATCCGAACCTGCTGCCTTCAAATAACGCGTCCGATACTCTACCGCCAGGGACGGATCCAGTCACTCGCTGTAGGGGGGGGTGTGGGGGAGGGCGCTGTCATCTGCAGTAAGATAAGAGAGGGAGGCAGGGTCATGAGTTTGTTTTTACTAGATAAAACCCCTTCGTAGCATAAATACTGTTATTTTGTGCTCAGAGTAGTTTCACTCATTTGTCCTAATTAGTGATAGGAGGTAGACTACGAGCACTGATGGGAGGGGGGTGCACACAAAGGTTTTGGGGGGTGGGCGATCACCCCTACCTCCCGCCTCTGTGGATCTGTCGCTGGTCATCCCCACGTCCACTATATAGGGACTGACCAAACGAGTGGTCTGACGGTAGGCTATAACGTAAGCTACACTCGTGGAAAACTTTTCTTGGCAACTATGGGTAAGCTACGGTGGAGGAACTCCTACACATATCCTATAACGTGAAGATGCCGCTTGCGGGAAGATGGCTCAATATGGCAATCAGTGCGTTTGCGGTACACGTGCAATTTTAGACATTGTTCCATTTGCAACACCACGGTGTGTGCTGCGTCCTTTTTCAATGAGTGTGCTGTTGTAGGTGAAATAATGTAGTATGTAACGCTAACTTCCAACGGACACTGCGCGCGCCGGCCGCAAGCAAGAGCTGCTGCCGTTGCCCCGCCATCCTATAGCAGACATAGACATTGAAAAAGGAGAAGGGAATGACCTGAACCGGAACCAGTTTACGCAAGATGGGCTAATAAAAAACAAGATAGCGGAACTTGCAGTTCCAGTCTGAAGTCTAAGCGTTGGAGCGTTTTTAAATTTCGCCCCATCAAAATATTGTCGAGGTAGGCATAGAGACAAACCCCCGCTTTCAACGCTTAGCAGAGTGATGCCACCGGGATCCTTTTAGAATGAACAATCCAACAACTGGTGCAAAATAAAACTAACCAAGGAAAAAAAAGTGCGACAATCTTTCAGTATACGTCGCGCAAAGATGAGCACAACGAAGCATGGGCCCGTCACCATCATTCCCCTCTTTCTCGATATTTTTATATGGGTGGGCTTCGTTGCTTTTTTTTTTTCTCTTTCTTTATCCCCGTCCCTTTATTTGAGTGTTCATTTATACCTTCCTATCTCGGCTTGCTTCCTCTTTCCCTCTATTTCTTTGATTCCTTTTTGTACGAGTAGCCTGGAAAGCCGAGTGGTTGAGACGCCAGAAATCTTTACGTGTCGCCAAAAAGAGGGCAAAGAGTGCCGTTTCGTGAATAATGACATCTGAATTAATTCTGTCATTTATTTTCACTGCAGACTTTTCGGCTCATCTTTTTTTTTTTCATTACGACCAGTTTTTGCAAAATGGTAGCTGCAAAAAGTTTGGTTTGGTTTGCTTTGCTTTGCTTTTATTCAAGGCAAAATTGAACAAGATTGCCTTGGGGGACACGACTAAAGGCTAAGTAAAAGCCTGACTAGGTCGTGCCACCCTGGCAGCAAAGCAGAAACATACCGCAAGTACAGTACTCAGAAAATTATAACATCACGTGTTATCTTACACGGGTACCATAGTCGAACAGGAACTGCCAAAAGTGTGAATAAAAGAATAGAAATATAAGCAGTCCTTATTCGAGTGGTGGCAAATATAAACAAAGGCATGTTTTCTATCAAATAAATTAACAAGAAACATCTTGACTAGGAAATCGAGTTGCTCTACAAGACAAATTAGAATATAATAAACAACAGGCAAAGGGACAGTAATGAACAAGGTGCAACGAATACAAAAAACATCATTACCTACAAATTTCTACAATCAAGAAAAGCATCGCTTTCATCCACTAGGAACTCTTTCGTTATTTTTTAAATGATCTAGCTGAAATTCCGTCTTCCAGTAAATGTAATATAGTTGGGTGTTTGTTTAGAATGTTTGCAATTTGTGACGCTAATCGTTGGTCACCGTAGTTCGTGCGTGATCTATATTTGTATATTAGGCTCTTTCTCAGCTCGTATGGTGTTTGTTTCACATAATATGTGTCCAAGAATAGTGATGTTCTTAGTTTATACTGGTGAAATATCTCTAGACATAGCTTATGTCTGTATAACAGTTTTATAGGTAATACTTTGTACATTTTAAAATATGGTCGAGCACTTTCGTAAAGGGGAGTGTTAGATATAGCACGTATAGCACGCTTTTGTAATATCAACAGAGAATTAAGGTTTGTAGTGGTCGTTCTTAGCCACACCAAGGAGCAGTATGCTAGTCTTGAATGTACTAGTGCGTAGTAAATTTGCAGCTTGACATTTGATGGGACTTAGTATCTCAGTTCAGACGCAAAAAAAAATTAGTATTTGTTTTTACGGTTATGAAGCGTGGAAACTTGAGCAAGTTGGTAGGACATAACTGAATGTACGAACAGCGCAAACTAGAAGTAGTTACCGCGTAACTACGGAAGCGAAGAAACAAGGACACAGAAGAGCGCCGACTTTCAACAATGCTTTCACAGTGGAGAGGTGTACATTATAGAGAAAAAAAAAGAGAGAAGAATAGAATGGGCATGCGTGAAAGGGTGCAGTTTACAACCACTGCGATACAATGCCAGCAAAACACTTGTCTCTTGTTGATTGAGCTGGAAACAAATACACAGCTTAAAAATTCTCGAAATGCGCAGTCTCTTTTTGCAACAGCGCAATTGATGGGAAACTTGCACATGTACCCTCAAACTTACTTATGTGATTTGCTTCAAAAGCTTTGGAAGCAAATAAAAAAATCAAGAAAAGCGATCTCAGACTCAAAATTCATCAGTTCCTAAGAACTGTGTTGCAGTCTCTTATCTGCACAATGTTTCGCATTGGCTGAAAAAAAAAAGGTAGACGCGCTGGTATCATTGCTGTATTTTCCACCCCGAAAAGCTATCAAAGCTTTGTAAGTTGTTGAATCATACAGCTGAAAATAGAGTAATATGCTCTGTGAAACACAAAACGCGCTTTGTATTTTGTGTTATTGGTGTCGTATATCTTGTTTCGCTTCCTGCGGTAAGATATACATAGGGCGAACCGGAAGGTGCTTGAACGACCGTTTACGAGAGCACAATAATTATGTGCACAATGCGGTTCAAAGAGACCTCGGAAACCACTGCCGAGACGGCGGCTGTGTGCTCCTCTTTGAGCGTCAATTACGAGGTGATAGGCAAGCACCACTTGCAGGCCACGCGTGAGATTATTCAAGCATATAACATAAGTAACTTTGACGGTACATGTGTCAATTCCCAGTCAATTGTGCTGTTGCAAAAAGAAATTGCTTATCTCGATCATTTTTAGGCTGTGTATTGGTTTCCAGATTATTCAACAAGAGACAAGAGTTTCGCTGACATTGTACCGCAGTGGTTGTTACCTGCATCCTTCCATGCGCATTTTGTTCTTCTTTCGCCTAATATGTACACCACTCCGCTATTAAATCATGGTTGAGAGTCGGCGCTCTTTTCTATCCTTGTTTCTTTGCTTCCGTAGTTACGTGGTAAGTATACATTTCAAGCATGCACTGTTCGTACATTCACTTTCTCAGGTGTTATTCATTTCAGAACACTTCCACCGCCTTACTTGCTTGTACCCTGATGTTTTCTTCGCTAGTTACCTCATTTCGGGAAGATAGCTTGCGGTGCACCAAGAAAAGCAGTCGTTGCCTGAAGCGATCTTTCTTGTCTGAGTGTTTCCTCCTAATATGTTGTCTTCTTTCACATCTGAGAACTAGGGCTCATTTACAGATGCCGTGGTGTGATCGCAAAGTTTCAGAAGAAATGCATGGTTAATCAAACACGTTAGGTCACAAGAGATTTACTTTAAAATGTGGAGTTACCTTTAAAGTGAAATCCGATCAGAAAAAAAAATGTTCAAAGGTGGGCGTCGTGTTTACCAGCACAACACCAATGTGCGACATTATTTACTCTCTCGGGCCTTGAAGCTTGACTTTTTTCAGAGATGAATCTACTTACTCCAAAAGAACGTTAGTGTATAGACTACTTTACGGAGAGCCGCCATGATGGGCCATTAACCTTTGTGTTTTGCATCTTTAACAACTAAGCGAACAGTGTTAGTGTAGCTGGATGAAAACGGTTGGGTTGGTGCGTACGATGTTTCATGGCGGTTGACGTCGTGATATACAAAAACGTAGGCTTCACAGCCCAAGATTGTGGCGTCCACGTGTCTTGCAGAAGGCGTATATACTGACTGACTTCCGCAGACACAAAAGAATGCAGGGCTACTCCCGCAAGTGAGCGCCGACAGAAGAAGGATACATCCAGCATATTTCAGGCCTCCTCTCCAACCTCCGCGTTGGCGTCTTGTGGCTGGACGTGGACGAGGTCTCGGTCGACATGGGCGACGACCAGTTGGTGGACGTGCTGCCGCCACCGCTGGCTGCCTGCGAGCCCAGCTCCGCCTGCTCCATGTGCACGGGACTGGGCTTTCCCCGGGGCTCGCTCGCCGCCGTCGCCGTGTCGTCGGCCACCATCGCCGAATCCTCGGCGCTCGCCGCCGCCCACTCGCCGTTCGCTTCCGCGAGAAGCTCTGGGAACGGCGTGTCCGCGCGCCCTTCTTCCTGCTCCGGAAGTGAACCTGCAAGAGAACTTCCGCTAAAAAAAGTGCATCGCTAATTGGAATTTCGTTGAAGCGCACCGAACACAAACAGACAAAAGAGGCTGACAAGGACAGCGCGTACTCGCACAACTCAAGTTTATTATTAAGAAAAAGGTATTTAAAGCGGATACAAGGTTCTTCGCTCGTGTGCAACACAGTAGGGCACAAAAAAGGCACTCGCATTGTAAATAAAATTTTCGGTGATATTTGTCATTTATTAGATATCGCAAGCACTACGTATCAAGATACGCCTATTCTTTATCTTGTCGCACAATTGCGGCTTCCCTAACACGGTGTTATTCCGCTATCTCGCGTGTCCGCTGATGCTTATGTCGAAAACTATTTCGGTTTCTTTGAACACAGGCTAACATCCGCAGTTTTTGCAGTGATCTGCGAGATTAGTGTTGCTTGATGCCTTAGCAGATGCGTGGTGTTCTCTAAGGCGGTCATTGGTGCATCTTCCTTGTCAGCCTCTTCTTTCTGTGTGTTTTCGGTGCACTTCAACAAAATTCTTATTATGAACGTAACCAAGCTGGTCGAACTTGCCATCTTGCTGCATCACAATAATGTCCGGTTCTCGGTAAACCAATTTCAGGCACAAGGGTGCACTCACTTGGAACTCGCAAATCGACCTTAAATGAACGCCGCGTGTGCGCAGAGCAATGAAGAGTTCAGGTGCGCAGACAGAGGTTAAATGTCAGGAGAAGTTCGCGATAACAAAGCTACGTATCTACACAGAGCATGCAGCTATGCACACAATCGAACCTTTCTCTGAACTTGCGTCTTCTGGCTGACCATCTTCATCCTCCAATGGCGAGTCCCCTGCGCAAGTAGGCACAAAATGAGATAAGATACCCCTTCACAGTTTACCAACACAGGCCCATGCGGTTTTGTCCACCGATGTTGCTTAGTACCATTGGTGGGCAAGAAAAGTTCTGGGGCCTGTTGAGTGGCCCTTGAAGCTCACCATCACAGGTTACTTATGTGAACAGCAAATAAAAGTCGAATTTTCATGTTCGTATTTCGCGACGCAACTTCATCATTTGTATACGTCAGTCCGGCGTCACGAGTTTCAGAGTTTATTCGCGAATTTTCGTCACGTTCTTCCCACGAATTTTTTTTTTTTTTTTTTGAAACCGGCTGTTGTAAAACCTTGCGTGCCTTAGAACGCAACACAAATTATTATTAGACCCAAGCAATTCCAGATGCCACATTATAACTAAGCGCCATCAAAACCTGTGACTTCACAGTGAGCCGGCATGCCGTATAATGTCAAGGCGGCGTCATGAATAGTATTATTGCGCACTTTCCCCAAACGTCTTCTTGCCGTAAGAGTTGCGCTTTCAGCGTTTGTGATTTAATTGCACGAATGAAAGCGTTTTCTCTCTTTGTATTTAGCAACCCTGCAATCATAAAGTTTCCTAGAGGGAAAACTGGCGCTGAAGCATGCGAATGTGTAACACAACAGCATCGCATGAGTCGAATCAGCATCGTTCAGGAAGAGCCCGGAAACACGTCAGGCTAGAACCGTTCTTCTCTGCGTTTCGCATTGCCCGGAATGAGCTGTTCTTTCTTAGCGTTTCACAGGAGCACGTATTATTAAGCACTGAGAACTTCTGCTTTGATGCCCAGTTTCTTGAAACGTAAAACGTAATAAACATAAAAGTTTGCTTTGCGACAGTTAGTCGATTCTTTTCACCGTTTGCTCGTATGCTGAAGGTGGAAAAAATTTTGTTTTGAAATTTAATACGCCCTAATCACCTCTGTCTGTGAAGCTTCTCATTTGGAGAATATTTATTGGCGCAGACACGATTGAAGCCAAGACTGGCACAGCACCGCTCAACACAAGCGTGGCATACACATTCATCGCCATCACCGAACAGCGCCCCGTCGTAAATGAGCATGGACGGTGGCTTTCCCTCTAGGTAGTATGTGTCCTATGTCTTTAATTGATCCATGAGAGCTGAAGAAAACAGGGAGGGACGGTGTTGGCTCTCCCTATGAAATAATGCCTTCTAGGATGAGCAACTAACCTAAACACAAAAGCAAACAGGCTTAACTTACATATACTTAGTAATGTAGATCCTCCGTGAAAACGGCCACAACTAAAGCATTTATTTCTACCAGAGTGTGGCCTTCGTCAAGAATGACGGTACATTCTGTTCGTGCTCACATTTATGGTATTTTGAGTAAAATATGAGAGGAAATAATGGCTAAGACACACAAAAAAAAGAAGAAAGAAAAATGAATAAAAAAGGAAAATATCGAGGACGTTACAGGGTTCACTGTTATGTGAGTGTTGTTGTGAGAATGTATTTTCATAGAAGTATTGCGTTCAGTGTAGTTAGGTGGCGGTCCCTTTATTGTAGACGGTGACTGCCTAAGGAAGGGCTCTCGTGTCGTGGAAAGTGTTTTTTTTTTTTTTTTGACCGACCATCGCTAATCAAGCGTCGATGGCATAGGCGGCTGTGAGGGGACTGCCAGTTTTGGTTTGTCGAGTTTCTATGTGTAAGAAGGCGTCCCGAGCATCCAGGGAGGTGGCACTGAAAAAAAGGTTTCTTAAGGCTGTCTCACTTTGAAAGGGTACCAGGCAGTGTTGCCGAAATACGGGAATGGGCATTTCAAGTTAATACTATTTTGTTCTGAATATCCGCATTTGGGGGCTTTTTTGCTGTGCATGCGGTCGCTGTTCGACATGTCGTGCTTACAACCACTGATGGGTTAGTAGAATTGGTATATATATATGTGTGAGATCTAACCGACAGTAATGCCAAGGAATTTACAGGGGAAGTTATTAGAACCAATGGAATGTAAATAAGAAGAAAGAAAAGTGGATGAAAAAATAACCAGCCGTGAGCAGGAATCGAACCCTGCTCACGGCTGCTCACGGCTGGTTCCTGCTCCTGCTCCTGCTCACGGCTGGTTATTTTTTCATCCACTTTTCTTTGTTCTTATTTGACGCAAGAGACGTGATGGCTGTACGATGAACCATTTGTTTTTCTTCGTCTTCCTACTTCTCTACCATTCTACCACACCATTCTCGTGTGATTCGTCACACGCTTCCCCCCTCCCCCGAGAGAGACGTAGGTGCAGGGGCGGACGATATCGTTTAGATCTCCCGACATGAACGACGTCAGTCTGGCGACCGAGTGGAGCCACGCTGCAGTCGATCTCGTAGTTAACTGCCGAAATCTTGCGTATGATCGTATAGGATTCTTCCATGATTGCGCGGAGTTTGCCGTGGTTCGGGTGCCAGGGTGTTTCATATAGAACAAAGTCTCCCACTTGAAGCTCTAATGGAAGGAACTTCTTGTCATATATTGTCTGTTAGATCTCAATAATATTGTGTAAACACGAAAAATGAGCCCTTAAGTATACACTTGTTTCCCTTATATATATATATATATATATATATATATATATATATATATATATATATATATATATATATATATATATATATATATATATATATATATATATATATATATATAGTCTAGTAGATCCTCCGTGAGCGGTCACAACGTGGTTTATTTCGACGTTTTGGCCTAGAGTCTGGCCTTCATCAGGAATCATATATATATATATATATATATATATATATATATATATATTTATTTATTTATATGCCAGACCAACAAGGCCTCTCTTTGAAAGCAACATCTGCAAGTGAAAGTTCATCCTGTCAAACAATTCATTGTACGTCTTTCTTCAAAAGCACTCCCGCACTAAGCACTACGCATGCAAAAACAAGGTATTCTTGCCTCTTTCGCTCTCTCTCTTCTCCTCGTCTGATTCAGGACTGCCTGCACAAGCAAATGCGGCGTGACAATGTTAATCATTTTCCATTCGCTGTCATCAGTTCGAGTTGCGAAAAGAGGAAGTGGAGAGAATTTGCAGCGAAATGATGCGCATCGGTTCGACAGTTGCACCCAGTTATATTCCCGAAACAAATGCGCAAATACAGTGGTTCATTCATTCAGTGAAACTGCAGGCCAGTAATTAACTCACAAGAGGAACTGCGTGAGTTTGGAAAATTTAAAGTGATCGCCCATGCATGTCTGATTGATTGATTTTTGGGTTTAACGTCCTAAAACCACTATGAGAGACGCCGTAGTGGAGGGCTCCAGAAATTTCGACCACCTGGGGTTCTTTAACAAGCACTCAAATCTGAGCACATGGACCTACAACATTTCCACCTCCATCGAAAATGCTGCCGGCACAGCCGGAATTCGATCCCGTGACCTGCGGGTCAGCAGCCGAGTGCCTTAGCCACTAGACCACTGCGGCGGGGCATCCATGCATGTCTGTGACCGGTTCGTAACCACCTATAGTTGAATGACTCACTCAGCAGGTGGCGCTTGTGTGAGTGACATAAAAGTGGTCATGTAGGCTACCTATGACAGACAGATGGATGGACGGGCGGACGGACGGACGGGTGGACGGATGGATGGATGGATGGATGGATGGATGGATGGACGGACGGACGGACGGACGGACAGACGGACGGACGGACGGACAAACAGACAGACAGACAGACAGACAGACAGACAGACAGACAGACAGACAGACAGACAGACAGACAAACAGACAGACACATTCTTTATTGTGAGCTAAGAAAAGCATCCTCGCCCCACACCGTAAACATATAGCAGGCAATGCGAATTCAAAAAAGCAAAAATTGGCAGATGCCACGTTTAGTGGGAATCGATGACTTGCGAAATACGAGTCAGAAAGGTTGATATGTCACTTTGAAATCAGAACAACGTTACGAGGTGGAGGTAAATGATGCCGTACATGACTTCCGTGTCATGATTATCATTCGTTACTTTCGTCATATATTCACGTCACGTGATACCAAATTTAGTATATATGGAGCTAGCGAAACGACCGTGACCACACGCGTGTCAGGATTATCATGTTTGCACCATTCATACACTTTCGTCATCTATTGACCTCACGTAACACCAAACTTGGTATATGTGGAGCTAGCAACACGGCCGCGAGCGCATCATGAAGGGCCCAATATACTCCAATGTAGCGTTGACGCGTGCGCACGCTGGGCACAGCGACGCTACATTAGCAAAACGCAAGCACTCTATAGTCTGACGCCAGTCGCGAAAGGCGCGATCAGCGTCTGTCAGCGCGGCCCGATGGCAACCGACGCGAAATGCGACATGCTGCATTTCGCGCCGATTCGTTACCCAGACAACACTCCGTCTCCCTCTTATCGTGACGGAGGGACGCCGGATGTGCTGCAACGCGCATGCGTCGAAGTAACGCAGCGCGGCGCACGCCTGCAAGATGGCAGGACCAGTGCCTGGCATGGCAACGCTATAGCGTGACCCGACGAATTAAACGCCTGTGAGCACGCACACCGCGTCAGGTCGAAATGTATTGGCACCTTGACTGTGGCATGCAGTCATGTTCTCACATGATATGCATCTCATGATTACCATGTTTGCATGAGTCACATACCTTCGTCATTCATTAGCGCCATGTAATACCAAATTTGGCGTATGTGAAGCTAGCGAAAGGGCCACGAGCGCATCATCAGTGTGGCATGCAGTCATGTTGTTGCATGACACGTACGTCGTGATTATCATGTTTGCATGTGTCATTTACCTATGTCGTCCATTCACGTCCCGTAATGCCGAGTTTGGTGCAAGTGAAGCTAGCGAAACGGTCACGGGTGCATCATGAGCGTAGCATGTAGTGATGTTGTTTCATGACTGGCATCTCATGTTTATCATGTTTGCACCAGTATCATGCCTTCGTCATCCATTCACATCCCGTAATACCAAATGTGGTATAAGTGAAGT